TATATTTACATGATTCATATCATGTTTCTAAAAAGATTAACCGCCTTTACCGCGTTATTCAGATCAATAAATCTTTGAAAATCAGCATACACATCTCACAAAAACTTACTAACATTTCATACAGTGCAATTCGTTGAATATTTACTTCGTATCTCAATATCTATAAAAAGTACCATTGATAAACAATTTTCTAAATAAAATTCTTTTTAGTTTATTACTGATTGATGATACTATTATGTAACTCTATCATTACGGGAAAAGTCGAAATAGGGCTTCTTCAAATCAATGTATTTAAATCTATATCATTATATTTCAATTTTGTTGAAATAAACATTTACTATGTATGCTGTTATATATTTGTTTAATGCAGTTCAGGATCCAAAGAGCAGTACGTTCTCTCAGTTTAATTTACTTTTAAGTTTATTAGCCATTATTTTGTCAAATATTTTCGGTAATGTACTTTATCTAAGCGCTTGTAAAGCTAAATAGAATCAATCAATTAATCTTTATTTCATATTGTCATGTGAAAGATAATTTTGTTTTGATTAAACCATGAAAGAGATCTAGATTCAAACTCAATCGTTCATGTTCAATATCACAGTATACATTAAACAAAGATTTTAACAATGTTAATTCTTCTTGAACATACCGCTAAGTATTCATTTTACTTGAGAATATGATTTATCTTCAATATTTTTATTGACATTTGTCTTTATTTAAATTGAATAAGTTCGATCCTCTGTGAGAAAGATTTATGCAAAGTTTAGATACTTGGATAAATTCGAATTTCTAACTGTGATTTTTTCAATCCTGTGAAAGTACTTAGCTGACTTAATTCTGGGAGTTCGTGAATCGGACGACTTTTATAAGAACATGAAAACGATAATTAAAGATTTGTTTGACTCATCAAAAATCAAAATCACATTTGAATAAACTATTTTTCCTGTGATTTATTTACATTCAGATTAACAGCTAGATTCGTATAAACTGAACTAAGCAGTATCTAACATTAATTAGTTCATAACTTATAGTGTGAACAAATATTTACCATATCATATAACCAAGCACCTATAACCAATAGAAATAACCAAATAACTAAGCTATATGATTACCCGTTTTCAAAATGCAATTATATATCAGAGACGATTATGAAACACTCAAGGATGAAAAGTTGATGATCATATATGCATTCTGATTAACTGTAATGCGAGATTTGAGGTGGTAAATCAATAGGTGTGGTAGACAATATGAACTTTTCGACGAAATCATTTACTTAAGTCGAAAAGAAAATTTTCTTCGCTGAATTCTCTTTTTCTTATTCAGTGATACTATGGGTTATTTTAACAATATGAACTATTTATTCACCGTAAAAGGTTGCAATAAAATGACTTCACTAACTTAATATTCGGCAGTCAAATATATGTGCTCTTCCATTTCTTTATCAAACTGCTAACATTTGTGATAACATAGTGAAAATGAGAACTATACTTATTGAAAAGCAAAATAAAAACTGGAAACTTAAATATACTTGTAAAATTGGTTGATTTGGCTAGTAAGCACCCTATGATGTCGTTAATTAGAGTTAAATGACATGCATTGTTTTCCACTTGTTCTTTTCCGATAATGGGAACAGAAGAGACAGTAATTTTACAGAATGCAATGAGGAAAGTAAATGAAACGGTATTGCAACAGCATCCATTTATGTACGAGTATTAACAATTTCATGAATACAGTAAAATGTCACATTGTGAAATGTTATCAAATAAATATTTGAGCGGGTAGATTCACATTATTCATCAAAATTTAACTAACCAAACACTACTAATTGACTCCTTAACTGAACTCTTACAAGTGGTATTGTAATGAACATGATCATAGACGAGAACAACCAAATGTCTCCCAAATGCAACATTGCAGAATATCTTGGTAAAATCTGAGAACCATACAGTAAATAATTCATCTGCAAATTATCCATCGATTGTCTGAAACTTTGTTGTTCCTTCGTTTCTATACCGATCACTCCTTGTTCTCATTCTCTTCTTTTTGATTTTTTCAATCGTCTGCCGCCAGACAATCCACTTTCGATTGGTGATACATACTTTTATTTGTCGGCATCAGTAGTACACACCACAGTACTATTTTCTACAATTTTTTTCATCTATCTTTAATGTTTGTTTTGTCAAACAATCCTTTCATGATACTTGACTAATTGTTTAAGATAATTTGTTATTTAATTATAATGTTTACCTTGATAAATTACCAAACAAAACAATGATTTGACTATTTTTTTTTACTTTCCTTTGTATTTAGCAAAAAAGATAAACCCCAGTAAGAAATCATGTTTAGAGTAAACAAGAAACCAATATATTTGTTCCATTAATTCATACACCATTACATGTTAAATTTATTTCTTTATCAAAGATTTCTATGAATTAACACATGTGTCGTATTGATATGGTTTAATCATTATCGTTAAGTTAAATAAGATTAGATGTGACCGGAAAATTAGAAATTGTTTCCTGTGTTATGCACGTACAAACACGAAATGTCCTCATGCATTATTCATTCTCTTTTCATAACATTGTACCATTATTGATGATAAGTCAGTTAATCAATATCAACAGAAAACATGGCACATAAGCGTGTTGAACAAGTTGCCATATCAGATTAATACAATGAGATTAAAAATGAACAAGATAGAAAGGAAATGAGAGTGAAATAATTTAGTAGAAATATTGATGAGAAAAAGTGAAGATTAATGGTAAGGAAGAGACTGATTGTGGCTATCAGTGGAATCTAGGACACACATTTTGTTTTATTTGAGACTCGACTGATAATTGCACTTGGATCAGTGTTGATGTTCATTTCAGGACTGGAAACACGTTAGCCATCTAGCCTGTGAGATCAGACAACCACCCACTTGTGTAACGGTTACGAACTTAATATCATTGTTTGGATGGGTTTAGATTATCCCGTTGTTAATACTGTTTGACTCCTAAAGTTAACACCAACCCTAGGACGAAGATACATTCAGCTGACGAGTCCTAAATAGAATGAAATGTGTACCCTAAATGAACTTCTAGTCACAATCAACCTATTCAATATACTGTTATGAAAAAAAGGTCATATTGAGGAAACATGCACAGGATAAACTATGCCAGTTAAGACTGATCGAAATTCGGTCGTTAATATTAACAGCAGAACAATCCAGACCCATTCTAATAATAATGTTAAGGGTATATTTTAGAGCGATTGAGTGTAAAGGTCTATATGAAGGAGTTCAAGATCTAGAGAAAGAATGCATCAGCGCTATTGTGACTGATTCCAAGCCATATCAATCAAAGCTCCTAACCAATGATTACAGTTATTTTGCTGACTCCAACCAACTAATGTACATCTACCAACAATAATTGACCTCATTGGCTGATGTCACGTTATGGTTCGTTTGTACCTAGCTATCTTCCAAACTAATTCTACACTAGCAAACACCTCCAGCCAAGGTAGTGAGTGGTTAGGTACAATTAACAAAGGTCATAACCACTTTAGTCGATGAACGTTGACAAACTCATCGACGAAAGCTCAGTAATAGACTGATTATATTTAACCACTATGAAACAAATTACTTATATATAAAAAACAAGATACTAGCAGACCCTAGTTTGATAAAAGTAAATATGCAACTTCTAAAAAAAAGACCACCATTCTCATGAGAAGGTAGCTTTGTGAAATCAGTGTACGATAATATTTTTCACTGAACAATTGTTTTATCCAATTGATGTTTAACTTCAAAAACAAAATTCAAACAAACATTAACAAAAGAAAACTAGATCGAGTTAAGGGAGCAATTTAAACAAATAGTCCAATTCACAAATACAACATTTAAATCAATTAGTCCCTATGATAAATTTCGATCGCATAATAAGAAGACGAAGATAATCAGACCTATGTGATATTTATTAGCATAATACATTTCGAACAATCTGATCATTTAGAAGTGATTCAAATAGCCTTTTATTAAAGCAAAGGCTTAAATCAGACGTATTATCCAGCAAAGGTCGTTATCAAGGAAAGAACAAGGTGCATGTTTCATTGAAAATCTAAATGACTTGAAAATGACTGCGTCACATCCCAGTGTTGACCAATTTAAACATATTACATAAGGAGTAATTATGATCTCAAAATTAGGGTATCTGAACATTTACCTAAACGGTTGCAGAAACAAAAAGAATCAAGTGACTCAATAAGAGTAGAGGATAAACATCCATCATCCTCTACTGCTAAACATGTAATCGAAACAGGACATAAGACTGATCTAAACTCGGCTTTTGTGGTGTAGTACAGAAGTGTTAAAAGGCACATACTAAAGTTTATTGAAGCCTTAGCCATACGAAAATTCAAACCCCCTCTGTGTAATCAAAAACAGTTTGTACTCTCGTTAAACCTACCTTGGTAATATTGGTTTATTATCCAGTGATTAGATTTCAAATTGTGTCTTTGTCTCCTCTCACCCTCCATTTCCAGTCTAATTGACCTTTTATCCTTTTAATATATATAAATGTTCTAAACAAGTATATGTGTGATCAGATTCTTCGAAATGTATTGCTCTAATATATCATCACATAGTTCTGATAATCTTATTATTATTACACTATCGGAATACAACATTGTTTAGCGTTTGAATTATTTTTTTTGGTTAGTGTTTTTTCAGAGATCTAGTTTTCTACGGGTCGCTAATCTCATGGCCAACCCTTCTCCTTTATCCGGGTTTGGGACCGGCAGTAGCCCCAAAGGGGCTCCAGGCAGAGTTACAATATTGTTTATGAGAGATATTCCTTTTTTATAGTTGATTAAACTTGGAATTTATCAATTCACACACACACTTTAATTTCACCTAGTGACTATATTTTAAAAATTTATTAGGTTCTAAGAGTGTTCGAAGAACTTCGTTTTGCTCATTTCAATTTGAATTTTTTATTTATTGACAAATTACTTTTAAGAAAATGTTGTAATTGTCATTCAACTAATTTTTTATATTTTTAGTAGCTCTAAGGATAAGTAAGAGATTTTAGCTGTTTTGTTTTGTTGCTATTTTTTCTTAGATGTTATTCATCATCGTAATAGTTTATAATCAGTGAGGGGTTTTGTGGATAATATAGTAATTTAATAGTTGAGATAATGAGTCAGTTGAAGCTAGACCACAATGGAAGACCTAGAAGCACTGAATGGCCATTTCGTCTTAGTGTGGGACTCCTCAGCAGTGCACATCCACGATCCCGCCCCGCGGGATTCGAACCCAGGACCTATCGTTCTGGCGCCCGGACGCTTAATCTCTAGACTACTGTTACCGTATCCAACGGTGTTAATGTCTAATTTGAAAAAAAACAAAGAATTTCACGAATTATTGATTATTGTATGGTTATTTTTTATTTTTAAGAAAAAAAGACGATCATAGTCAGTAAGTTTTGTATTTTATAGTAAATTTATAAAATGAGTCAACTACTTGAGGTGAATGAACCTTCTTAATTTACAGTAGATTCGATACATGTCAGGGGTATTACTAATAACATATATATGTTGCCCTTTGTAGTAACACTAAATTTATAATAATTCAGAGAATTTACAGTTTGTTTGTTTTCTTAAGGAGGTATTTTTGTAACTAGTTAGTATATAAGAGTTCTGTCTTCAATAGCCAAGTAATTTATGAAAGTAAAACAGCAAGAAGGAAAAATTTATTTGAGAAATCTCAGCAATCAAATTTAAAGTACATCCAGCATTACTCTCAGCGATTTAGTCTACGTTTTTTTCAAAGAGATATAATCAAATATTAAAATTAATGAATATAAATAGGTACATGGTTCTTCCATTAACTGTATAGTAAATATTTCCTTACAAAATCTTGAATCAGATTACCCAGGAAAACATTGAACTTACTTCAAATTCATTTACTGAGATTTTACCAATACATTCTTACATCAATTCGGCGTCCAAATACTCTGAAACTATTGATTCAAATTCAGACGAAAGCTCTTATAAAGTGAAACAGTGTTTTCTGAATAATATTATTTTAGCAATATCCTCTTTATGAGATGGAATCGCTAGCCTCATAACTAGGTCTCCTCCTTTACTCAGGCTAAGGACAGGCACTCATCTTGGAATTACTTCACGTTGAATTAAAGTAAAACAGACTAAAAGTAGTAGAAAGTTTTCATGTTTCTAGACGAATTCATTATTCAATTACTTTCCTGTATCACCAAGTACTGTAAATGATCCTTCATACACTTCACAGTTCAAATATTGTTCAATCTATAAAAAGGCATATTTTAATCATACTTTTTTCAGTGTAATGTAATATAATATAATTTCTGGTTTACTTCCACTTTCAAAAGTCACAAATCGGGTTCAAAACATCGGTGAGTGTTATTATATTCTTCAATGAATCATATAAATTATTAAAGAAGCATCAGACATTATCTAAAAATATCCTTGATTATATATGAAATAAACACCCAGTGATAGGTATATTAGTAGTGAAATTAATAGTAATTATTTCAGTACTTCAAGTAAGCTACCGACTCATATTGATAAATCTTACAGTGTAGGTTTTCATGGATTCTTAATAGTGTACAAACGTTCTTTGATATAAGTTAGATGAAAGTTCCAATGATAGTTTATTAAGTGTATTGACATGCTAACTTTGAAGTAATTCGTTATTTGGTTACTTTAGAATGGTGAAGAATAGTCGCTACCTGAATAGATTAAGAGGTAATATTCCCAATTGCACCAAACTGTGACTCAGATTGTAACGTAGTTGGGAGCGATAGATCAGTTATTATATATTCCTTGATATCAAGTACTTGCTAGATCAAAATTTACTTGTATAACTTCTCGATTATCTACAGAAAAACAACAACAACAACAGTATCTCGTCACACTTACTCATTTGAAAATAGTACAACGTTACAACTCAATCTACAATACTCGACGAGAGATAAAGACTAAAAGCATGATACTGTTAACACTCGATGATTAGTTGGTGTTAAAAAGAGTAGGACTTACTCACATATTCATAGTGAACTAAATATCAACATACCATTTTATTATGAATGTATATACCATGTTTCTTAAACTATGAATATAACTACATTTATTATTTATCTTATATTTCAAAAGTCACGTATCTCTATATTTCAATCCGTCTTACAACTCCTGAGCTCTCTAATTACCTATAAGAGTATTAACTTCAAAATCGTGACTAAAACAATTTATGCTCTTCTATCGGTGATACAGTTGATATCACTGGTGACGATGATACATTTTAATAGAATAAATGAATGTAAGAATCATTTTCTCCCAAATAGATTGATCGGTTCGAAAATTAATTAACAAATATGTTTCTATATTATAATATTCATAATCAATATCTTGGTCCCCATGTTCTTTCTTTTAAAAAATTTATTTGATTAGTTCTGGGTCATCGTAAGTTAATGTTTGATAATTGATCTAAATTTGAAATTGCCATCTCACTTAAATTAGATACATAATAGACATTTAATATTAAAGCCCCATGAATTACGTAATGATCGAGTTGATATTCCCTGACCAGCAAACTAGTAGATACTGCTGTTTCAGCTGACATTTTTCTCTTAAATTTGTTTTAATCACGTTCTATTAGGTCACGTTCTTTTTAATTTTATTATATTACCAATTTAAAGATAATATAGGACAACTCAGCAGTGTACATCTACCATCTCGCAGGCGGAAATCAGACTCAAGATTTTAGGTCTCGCTTGTAAACTCTGTGCATGCCAACTGAGTGGTCTAGAGGTCAATGATTTGCGAGTGACATCGAAGGTCCTGTGTCTCATTTTCTGTCTCAGGGTTGTTCATTCTTCTCATGTCCATCTTCATTTCTCAGCGTAATGTGTTCTTTGGTATTCCACTTCTCATTTGGCCTTGAGGATTGCATGTGAGAACTTGCCTTGTGACGCAGTTTGGTTCTTTGCTCAATGTGTGTCCTATCCACCTCCGGCTCCTCTTCCTGATTTCTTCCTCCTTCCTTCCTGGAATCTGGTTTGTTCTCTCCTGAAGTAGGTTGTTGCCGATAGTGTCTCGCTATTGGATCCGAAGTATTTTACGTAGACAACTGTTAATAAACATTTATATCTTCCTGATGATGACATTCGTAGCTCTCCAGGTTTCCGTCTCATACAGTAGAACTGTCTTGACCTTTGTATTGAAAATTCTGAATTTTGTGTTGGTTGACAGTTCAGTTCACTAGATTAATATTCCTAAAACACTTACATGAGTTCCAATGATCAATATAACATTATAAATGAACACGTTTCCTGGTGGAGTTTTTTTTTTTGAGCTGGTTGGTTTGGTTGTGCTCATAGAACAAAATTGTATCAAAATCATCCCTCTTAGCTACAAATCTTCTTCACCATCTCATAACACGTTTTCTTCAAGTAAATCATTTTATCTATACATAAGTGGCATTTATATTTCAAAACTATCCGTATATATAAAACGCCTAAACTACAAAATAATATAAAGGAGAATATATTCATCTGATAATAGATAATGTTTTAGTTTAGCACAAAACATTCATCATTCAACAAATCATTGTCAGAATTGTTTTTCAAACTAACAAAACGAAATAATAATGTAAAACTGATACTCTATTTTAAATAAGAAAGATTAGTTCAGTGAATTTGCCGAAAATAGTACTCTTCACTGAACTAATCTTTCTTATTTGATGTCTTAATGGGTGCATTTCGTTTACTCTATTTTAAGTCATATGGGTTTAGAAAGATATATCAATGTGAAATTGACACCTAATTCTCAATTGAATCTTTTGATTAAAGGCATAATCATAAGAAGTTACTTAATTAAAGCTGATTTAATAATTTTCTTCTTAAGATTTGCTGTGATTGTTTTGTTTCTTTTTTGTTTGAAAATTCATTATATTTTATTACTATGGGGTTGTAGAGGCTGTTAAGTTTTAGATTGAGATCATGAATCGGTTGATTTTAGACTACCGTTGAAAACATGGAAACACTGAATTGCCATTTCGTCCTAATATGACACTCCTCAGTAGTGATCTAATATCAATCGATTCATGATCTCAATCATTATATTTTATAGTTGTCTTCTGACTAATTAATATCCTTGTTGATATGATAACATGAGTTGGTTTGACAGTATAAATGGATTGTTTGAGATATATTTCTCTTCTCATGTATGAAACAGTATTCATTAATCTCTTAGAAATCCATTCAATATGTTAAATGTTAATGTAGTTAAAAATGGTAATTTACATAAACGAATAATCTGAAATATACATTGAATGTCATTCAAATTACGGAATGTGTTTTTGGATTAGAAAATATGTAGTTGGTAATAGGTTAGAATTATTTTCAAGCAATATTGATCTATTATCATATCATAACCAAACTATCTAGATCAAAGAACAAACCTTCATCAAGATGTGATATCATGTATAACTCATCTAATTATAATCAACCATTATGTATTCATAAAATTTTACTTTTGTGCAAATTACAATAAAATTTGAAGTGTATGAAAGATTAATATGTCTCATAAATTTTTTCAGGACCTTGAACAAGTTTTGGAACCTTAAAATTTAGGTTCTTTCATCACAGTTTATTTCTAGATACTATATAAAGCCTAATTTATTTTTTTGTTCGATTTCACATACTTCTCAAAGTTTTCATTGCATGAGCAGAACCGAAGATTGTAGAAAAAATTCGTTTGAACATGTGTAGATAAAAAAACTGTCTAATAAAATCAAATCGATGAAAGAACCATCTGTTATTAGTTGATATTTAGAACGGAATATGAATCCATGATAAGGATCTCTCTTTGTATTTACACTACATTTCTATTCAATGATTGTATTATAAACATTCTAAGGATTCTAAAATATCTTATATTATTGAAAAGAGTAAGAACAAACATTCTAGCACAATAGCATGAATTCATTTTTATTTCGTCTGGTTCTCATTAACTGCTTACAACCTGTGATATTTAAAAATCATAATTACATAATGGGTTTAAATTACTTACATGAGAGGGTTTAGTTGGAAGTTATATTGAAGACATATTAGTATAGTATAGCAAGGGTGTAAATAAATTTAATAGACTGAATAGTGTAAATATATACCTTATGTAAAAGAACATTGTGACAACAGTTCAAATGGCCACAATCAAGTGATTACACAATGAGTCAAAATTGATAGGAATATGGTAAGTAGAGCTCAGTTGATAAAATAAGATTATCAATTTTGGAAGGTAGTTGGAATAAAACCCAATGATGTAATAAATGCAAGAAAGAGTTTAAGGAAAAATAGAAAGAAATTTTTAAGATACAGGGAAGGAACATTAGTCACCAAGGCAAGCAAAGTTTAGTAACCATCTCTTTTCGAACACATAAATCAGGGTTTTTTTTATTGAATTAAGTACATGAAGATTGGCAGTCCTTTCAAATTTTACACAAATAATTTGTAACATAACTATCTCAGTACTAGTGAATTCCCTTGTAAAGTACAATTTTAATAATGAACTAAATGTTACAAGTAGATTTCTAGAAGTTTTATATTTCTATTTAAATAGCATAGTAAACTAATATGTTGATATGTATTTCAAACATGAATACTAATCATTCTATATAATAAGCTTTCTTTTCTATTAAAATGAGTCTAAATTGATAATGTTATGTAGCATTAAAGTGGAAGAATGTTGTATTTGTAAAATCTCAGCGAATGAATTTCTGAAGTAAATCCAACGTTTCGCCTGACAACCTGGTTCAAGCTTTTTTCTAAGGGAATATAATCAAACATCAAAATTATCGAAAATGAAGATATGTATAGTTCTCCGGTTCACTATATACTGAATAGGTCATCCAATCTACGTTAACAATGTTTAAAGTAGGTATTTGCATTGAGTGTGTAAGAGACATATGGTGTAAAACGATTGTATGTGTCCGCAAGTGGTATAAGAAGTAATTTCTCTGGTCAGTGAATTTTTAAAAAATATATAATTTTATGTATGATATGATTCCCAAATGTCACACATGTTGATTGAATGATCTATTCAGTATACACCTCTTCATTTTCGATAATTTTGATGTTTGATTATATTTTCTTGAACCACGTTGTCAAACGAAACTTTGGATTTACTTCAAATTCATTCGCTGACATTTTACGAATACAACATTCTTCCTCTTTAATGCCTCACATCAACCCGGCGACCAAATACTGTGAATCTATTAGGTCAGATTTAGACGAAAGTTTGCTTTTTCTGCTCTTGATGTGAACAAACACAATCATATGTCAGTTGTTTACAACCTATGATCTTTTAAAATCATAATCCTTAAGATCCAATAATAATAATAATAATATTGAACAAAGCAGTTCCAAATAAATTCTGGAACATCAATATAGTAACTGAAAATCATAGGCTTTAAAATTATTTAATTCTTGAGCTAATTAGCTGAACTAGGTTATTGGTGACTCATAGTAACGGGAGTTGAGATAAGGCAGTTTGAAAAGATTTTGTAATAAAATGAGTTGTGGGAAGAGATTTATGACAATTTACCTTCTGAATTCATAAATTCGGTCTGAGGTGTTCGATTACTAAGATCTAGATAAGTTTGGGAAGCTAAAGTTCTATTATCCCTTAATCATCTAGGAAGATTTGGATTTGTCAACTTGACATTTTGTGTCAAATAGAGATGTCTTGATATTGAAATGTTGAAAGCTTATAATTCTTTTAAACGTAAGAATTCTGGAACATGTTGTCGGAATTGAATGTAGGCCTTTCTTTCTGTTCTGCCGATGTAACTGCACACAGTGAGCGGTAGCATAAATATGGTACCTATCAATCTTTGATTGGGATGTTGCGATATTTTTCGTGTATTTTATAAGGTCTTCTTCATCGTAAGTTAAATTTTATTTGAAATAAATTAATGTACCCAAATACTTTGGGATAAAATACTCACCTTTCACTTTGATTAAAATTTGGAGTTTTAAGTCACCTTGAGTTTGGATTAACTGGTAAACAATTTTACGCCTAGTCATTTTACAGGTGAAACAGATGTCAATAACTACACGATCACAAATCCTACACTAAAAACTTTTAAGTATAAGATGAATATCTAGTAGTTTACTAAAAAATCTATCAGTTATATCCATAGTTAGCTAATAGATCTGCAGCACAACTACTGTTTATTACAATTAGACAAAATTCAGTATAAATAAAGTATTTCACATTCCTAACTTAATCAATTTTGAATGTAAGTAAGTATTCATGAAACTCGATCTCTTTCAAGTTTTTGTGAAGTAACTATAGATGAGACTATAAACAAAGATGGATGATGGCTAGAAGCGGGATCCAGGATGGACGTTTCATTCTATTTGGGACTTGTCAGCTGGAGCGAACATTAATTCTGGGATTCAGAAATATCCAGCTGACAAGTTCCAAAAAGAGCGAACACGCATCCTGGATTCCACTGTTAACCACCATCCATCTACGCTTATAATATTTGTGATTTAAAGCAATATTAAGACAATTCTCGCAGGATGAACATATGACAATCAGATACTGATAAATTGTTGTCCTAAACATGAATTAGAAGATTCAAACAACCAATACAAAAATGAATTATAGATGAGATCATCTAAAGCAGTGAGAAAGCATATACGAAGATACAATAAAATATGGAGAACTCAAATTATAATTTTGTCTCATAAGTTGTATGCTCTGACTTATCTGTGTAAATTGTTCGTCAAATAGTTGACAAGTTCAGCCTTTATTTGTGTACAACGCATCGAAGTAGTTGAACTGATTTTCTTTCATAATACTAAACATTCAATATAATTTAAACCATCACTTGTAAGACTAATCTTCCTTAATTTTCATTGTATGCTTTCATCTATCCATTTTTTCTCAAGTTTCCTACTATTAATTCAATGTGTCTTATTTAACATTTAACTTAGATCGGATTCTGACCATAAAAAGTAAGTGTCATTACATATGAGATGAACAAATAGTTCATTATTAAATGTAGTATATAACTGTAAAAAAAGTAGTATTCAATACAACGATTTACAAGTTAAGTAAATTTTCAATTATGTGTCAGTCTTCAGGTAAGTAGGATTTAGGATTTCAATATCTAAATAGCTAAGTAGTAATATGTAGACTGATTTCGATCGACATCAATGAACTGGTAATTTGTATTGGAACTCTGACTAACACTCACTAAAAAATCAACGAAGAACTGTGAAGACAGATAAGAGTGTCCTGGTTGTACTCTGTTGAAAAAGTTACACTATGATTATCGACCTAAGTAAATTTAACATCGTTTTGAATACTTCAAAAGTAACGTTGGAGACTATAAAGCTTGGTGACTATAGTTTGAATCCTGCCGGAAGTGACAGTTTCTTCAAGATTGTAGAAACACCTTGATGACTAGTAGCACCTGGAATTAAACTCAAGTTAGAAAGAGGTTCTTAATGTCTTCTTCCAACTATCTAGCATTGGAAGTTTTAAATTCCACATTCTAAGAAATATTTAACGCCTAATGCCAAACCATTCATTTAGGTTAACTTTTAAGTGGTTCGTAATTAATTTTATCGTTATCTTTGTCAACATAAACATTTTTTGATACTTTCAAACAATAGGAAGTAAAAGTCATGGAATTAGTAAGTTCTTACACTTATGTTGATAAAGACATGTTGTTTTGAATAGCATTTATTACAGTTAGTGTTGTGTAATGTATACAATGAGAATACACGATATAAGATACATGTTAAATAAATTACCTCCCTTAGTTCTAATATACGACAAGCTCGCAAGCATCAAAACACTTTCGCAATGAAATGGCATGAGAACATGGAAATTATAAGTTTCAATTGAGAAGAACTAAACCGTATTCTGGTAGCTTTTAACGACATATTCTAAATTAATTGTCGTTTTCACTTAAATAAATCGAATTGTAAGAAATAATAATAAAAGGAATTGGAATGTAAACCAATATTCAGTCAATTGTTGATAGGCGCGATTAAAAATTTATGAATCATGTATTAAGTAACGTCTACTTTATTTATTTCTCCCTTAATAGTCGTCAACCCTATCTCCGACAAACATTTTGTATATATTCACTTTTTCTCAGTATATCGAGATTTAGTTTTATTCTGGGTTTAATAATGAAAATAATTTTCAATAAAATGAATTACATGTTGAATTTGTTGTCTCGCCGCCTCAACTTCCTCATATAATTAAAAAGGGCAAACTTCACATTCTAGTGTTTAGGTATTATTATACTTTAAATTAAAAGGTAGGAATGGTGCTTTTGAAGTGAAAGCATATTAAACTTTAAAAAACAAATTGATATTGTGGTGTGGGTTACTTATATCTACATAAGTAGTATATAACGGTGGTCAGGCATAGAATGTATTTCAGTAGATAATAGATAAGGAGAGAACAGGAATGGAGAACGGAACGCAATTGGTATGAAGTGTATCAACAATGAAATCTGAGACAATGGACTGATACTTGCAAAAGGAACAGTCAAGTTTGAGACAATGGATTGATATATTGCAAATTAACTATTTACCAAATGGTTCTCAGATTTTAGTGAGACGTTCTGTAATTTCGTGTCAAATACATTCGATTGTCCCCACTCGTGTTCTTGTTCACTACAATATCACTGGAAATTTGGAATTTATTGGGATGCCTATTAAACACTAATATAATCATGTGAATGGTTTTGGTAGAAAAGTAGAAAATAAACTTATTTCATAAATCGGATTAAAGAAATCCTAATAGGGAATAAAACATGATAGGCAATTGACAATCGTATATGAACTTTTTATTTAACAACTTATAAACTAATGTAATCTACCTACCCAAGGTCTCCTGATTTTCACTTATTCTCCAGATTACGTCAGTTTATGGTAAAAAAAAACATCATACAGTATCTCATTTGTCAAGTAAAGATGTATATAATATGCTATCACTTTGTTTAAATGGTATTTACGCTAGATGACTGATTAACCAAATCGAGGTATATGAAATCATATTGGAAACTGTACGTCGACTACATGAACTCAAAGGCATTGTTATATGTATTTAATCGTATAGCAACTGTCACTATAGTTTCATAAATTTTAATTTCTTCTTAAGCAGCTTTTTGTTTTCTTGGAATCTTTATCATTAAATACCTATCAATGACTTTTCTTATTCATTCTATTTTAGATGAAAATGAAACGTTTTTCCAATTTATTTCATTAGTTATTTTCTCATTAAAGTTAATTATTATTAAAATACATTCGTTTAAGTTAATGTAAAACGAAGTCTGTTTTCTTTACAAGCTCTAGTTTATCAAAACTTTGTATATTAGAAGTGGTCCAATGATTAAGCGCTCGCGCGCGAGACTGATAGGTACTGGGTTCGAATCTCGCGGGGGCGGGATCGTGGATGCGCACTGCTGAGGAGCACCATACTGGGACGAAAGGGCCGGCTGTCTAGTGCTTCCAAGTTTTCCATGGTAGTCTACCTTCAATTGAATCATGATTTCAACTACTGATATTTGAGAACTGTAGAACACAATAGCATTCTCATGAGTAAACAATACAGACATATTATTTTGAATAAGAAAACGAGAATTCAGCGAAAATTTTCTTTTCGACGAAATCATTTACTTAAGCTGTACATTCGGATATATAGTTATGTGGAAAATGTATGTCTATAGAAGGATAGAAAAAATTGCATCACCAAAATGGATTCGAGGATGAATAACAAATAGGGTTACGTAATAATCAAGGGGTAAGGAAGAAAATCGTTTATAGGTCAGATAATAGTTCAATTGACAAATATGAAGAAAAGCGACAAACACAGAGGTCATAATAATAGACTGAATAATAATCAAGAAAACTTGTATAAGGTAATAATAATAATAATAATAATAATAAAAAATGATTAGAGTTTGAAATGCAAAATAGTAATTTAAAAAAAATTGACAATAATCAAATAAAAGTGCAAAATAAACCAAAACCAAAAAAAAACAGAAACATACCCATTAAATGAATTAGGGCCAAGGAAGGATGAAATGTTGAACAAATCGTTTCTGTACACTAAGTTCGGGCTTGAGTTCGTGAATTGCCAGTGCCTCAGCAGTGCATAAAATATTGATTCGACACTCCTTCGATCCAATTCCTTTGACTCTGTAGATCACTTCAAAAATAGAATACTCGGGAGGGGTGTGTCCGAAATTGATTAAATGCTCCTGTATAGAACTGGTGATTGTTTTACATTCTCCTTTTAAAAGCCAAGCCGGATAGTGTTCTGAGATGCGTTTGGACAGTGATCGCTTTGTTCGGTCTATATATTATTTTGACGCAAATCCTTTTTATAAAAAGATATCATGCTTAAACTTTGTAGTGGTCGGTATTTGCGATATAATCCTTAAACTTAGTAAATAGTTCATCTTGATAACTGTTACTAGATAATGTACCTAGCGGTGTCTAAATCAAAAGACGGGTGTGTAGTGTTGATCGTGTTTATTATTACACGACGCACAGATCCCTAAAACCACAGACACGTGAAACAAGAATGAAAGACTAATGCCAAAAAGAGAGCGTGAAAATTCTCAAGCTAACATGAATAGGATTAAGATGTACATATATATATATATATATATATATATATATATATATATATACATATATATATATACATAGGGAAATGAGTAAAGCTCATCGAATCCATTAAGCGACTAACATTAAAGCTAGCAGAATGAATATGTACGTAGGTAGTAAGAAATGCTCAATCATACATATTCACACAAGCGCAACAATAATAAAGGTACAATGGTATAGATAAGTAGTTATTGTACGAATTACTATGTCCGTTAAATAAGTAAACAACTATTAACCTGACGGGTTTTTAAATATTATGTATATAAGCATTATCTGTTTAAAAAGATTGTTTTTGAATCACATTATTGCATATGGTAATGTTTCTTTTCAATGTAAAACATGAGTAGCTGAACAAATCAGTTTACTTCGTGATAAAACTACACTTAATATATGCACCAAGTAAATATTTTATAACCTTAGCTTCACTCATTTGATGCATCTCTCCAAAGTTCGTGCTTTACAACAAAAACAGTGTCTTCCAACATTTCCTTAACTTAGAAATCACCTGACACCTAAAAATTCTGGTTACGATAGGAAATAAGGCGAGACTCTAAATTAGGGACGAGCCAACCAGAAGCGTTTGAGCCATTTCAAGGTCACGGAGCCAAGTTTAACACCTGATGCTCACATACGATCGATTTACAGCGTATTGTAGAGAAGAGGTTATTATTGAGAGGCTACAAGGGATGGGACTACTAAAAGGTTCTTGTACGTGCGACTGCGGTTATCAAATGACAGCAGTAAAGTGTGCAGACCACCGTGGTGAGGTTATATTTCGTTGTTCTTCATGTTGGAGCAAAAAGTCTGCTCGAACGGGGACTTTCTTCGCTCGATCACGACTAAAACTGAGGCAGATCATGATAATAGTTGCGAATTGGGTAATAAAGACACCAGTAACACTGGCTGCCGCGTTTGCAGTTGTTACTGAAACTTCAGCAGTCCAGTGGTATGAGTACTGCCGTGACATATGTGCAACTAAATGACACATATACACCAATCATTCGGAGGAGTAGGATGTATTGTGCAAATAGGTGAAACGGTAGTGAGAAAGCGAAAAAACAACAGGGGACGCAGTATAAAAGAAGATTGGGTAAGTAGCATTTTCGTAATTATACTCGACAGGTACTTGGAATTTATGACTTTTATACCGTATGCAATATGATTTGAAAACATCTGAACCTTTAGCAAACCTTGAAAAGTTTTTAAATCATGTAAAACAAGTATATCCACTGTAGTCCATTAGTTTCTTCTAGTATATTTTTACTTTATACTAACTGTCTTCTGATTGGCTAATATTCTCAAGGTCACTTAAAATTCGTTCAAACGTCGTCCTTAAATTAGTCTCGCCTGAAGTACTTAGAAGAGGTAATAAAGATTTGGTTTATGGATGGCGCTTGGGTGATCTGTTAACCTGAACTCTTCAAAAAGAATGCTAAATCGAGATGGAAACTTTTTTGTGATGACAAATGGCAAATAGTGACAACTTTAAGTTTGTGTTATTATCACAAACTTGAAGACATATTCCTACTCATTTTAATTTTTCCGTAGCATGGAATATGTAATCTATTAACTCGCATTGTTAAACCCAGTACACTAAGTTAGTGATCAGAGTAGCATAAGAATCAGGATAAAAATATGGCGGTAAGTTAGACGTTAAGTGTAAGAACGAGTGACCTAAGTGACCGTGAAAAATTCAAACTTTCCAACCAATTAAAATGCTGAAAATATGAGTGAATCCTTCAGAATGATGGCTCAGGATTCACGTTTAGTAATCTAATGTTTGGTCGCAAGAGAATACGATCAGAAGACTGTTTTCACACAACTAATGAACATCTCTGTGTGGTTTATCAATGTGTCAATCAAGAACAGACATTACATTACATTAGTTACTTACGACTGTTGCTCCCAAAGGAGCATAGGTCACCGACCAGCATTCTCCAACCCACTCTGTCCTATTACTTACTTTCTGGTTCTAGACAGTTATTGTTCACTTCTCATTCGGCCTTGAGGATTGCATGTGGGAACTTGCCTTGTGACGCAGTTTGGTTCTTTGCTCAATGTGTGTCCTATCCACCTCCGGCTCCTCTTCCTGATTTCTTCCTCCTTCCTTCCTGGAATCTGGTTTGTTCTCTCCTGAAGTAGGTTGTTGCCGATAGTGTCTCGCTAGTGGATCCGAAGTATTTTACGTAGACAACTGTTAATAAACATTTATATCTTCCTGATGATGACATTCGTAGCTCTCCAGGTTTCCGTCTCATACAGTAGAACTGTCTTGACCTTTGTATTGAAAATTCTGAATTTTGTGTTGGTTGACAGTTCAGTTCACTAGAGTAATATTCCTAAAACACTTACATGAGTTCCAATGATCAATATAACATTATAAATGAACACGTTTCCTGGTGGAGTTTTGTTTTCTGAGCTGGTTGGTTTGGTTGTGCTCATAGAACAAAATTGTATCAAAATCATCCCTCTTAGCTACAAATCTTCTTCACCATCTCATAACACGTTTTCTTCAAGTAAATCATTTTATCTATACATAAGTGGCATTTATATTTCAAAACTATCCGTATATATAAAACGCCTAAACTACAAAATAATATAAAGGAGAATATATTCATCTGATAATAGATAATGTTTTAGTTTAGCACAAAACATTCATCATTCAACAAATCATTGTCAGAATTGTTTTTCAAACTAACAAAACGAAATAATAATGTAAAACTGATACTCTATTTTAAATAAGAAAGATTAGTTCAGTGAATTTGCCGAAAATAGTACTCTTCACTGAACTAATCTTTCTTATTTGATGTCTTAATGGGTGCATTTCGTTTACTCTATTTTAAGTCATATGGGTTTAGAAAGATATATCAATGTGAAATTGACACCTAATTCTCAATTGAATCTTTTGATTAAAGGCATAATCATAAGAAGTTACTTAATTAAAGCTGATTTAATAATTTTCTTCTTAAGATTTGCTGTGATTGTTTTGTTTCTTTTTTGTTTGAAAATTCATTATATTTTATTACTATGGGGTTGTAGAGGCTGTTAAGTTTTAGATTGAGATCATGAATCGGTTGATTTTAGACTACCGTTGAAAACATGGAAACACTGAATTGCCATTTCGTCCTAATATGACACTCCTCAGTAGTGATCTAATATCAATCGATTCATGATCTCAATCATTATATTTTATAGTTGTCTTCTGACTAATTAATATCCTTGTTGATATGATAACATGAGTTGGTTTGACAGTATAAATGGATTGTTTGAGATATATTTCTCTTCTCATGTATGAAACAGTATTCATTAATCTCTTAGAAATCCATTCAATATGTTAAATGTTAATGTAGTTAAAAATGGTAATTTACATAAACGAATAATCTGAAATATACATTGAATGTCATTCAAATTACGGAATGTGTTTTTGGATTAGAAAATATGTAGTTGGTAATAGGTTAGAATTATTTTCAAGCAATATTGATCTATTATCATATCATAACCAAACTATCTAGATCAAAGAACAAACCTTCATCAAGATGTGATATCATGTATAACTCATCTAATTATAATCAACCATTATGTATTCATAAAATTTTACTTTTGTGCAAATTACAATAAAATTTGAAGTGTATGAAAGATTAATATGTCTCATAAATTTTTTCAGGACCTTGAACAAGTTTTGGAACCTTAAAATTTAGGTTCTTTCATCACAGTTTATTTCTAGATACTATATAAAGCCTAATTTATTTTTTTGTTCGATTTCACATACTTCTCAAAGTTTTCATTGCATGAGCAGAACCGAAGATTGTAGAAAAAATTCGTTTGAACATGTGTAGATAAAAAAAACTGTCTAATAAAATCAAATCGATGAAAGAACCATCTGTTATTAGTTGATATTTAGAACGGAATATGAATCCATGATAAGGATCTCTCTTTGTATTTACACTACATTTCTATTCAATGATTGTATTATAAACATTCTAAGGATTCTAAAAAATCTTATATTATTGAAAAGAGTAAGAACAAACATTCTAGCACAATAGCATGAATTCATTTTTATTTCGTCTGGTTCTCATTAACTGCTTACAACCTGTGATATTTAAAAATCATAATTACATAATGGGTTTAAATTACTTACATGAGAGGGTTTAGTTGGAAGTTATATTGAAGACATATTAGTATAGTATAGCAAGGGTGTAAATAAATTTAATAGACTGAATAGTGTAAATATATACCTTATGTAAAAGAACATTGTGACAACAGTTCAAATGGCCACAATCAAGTGATTACACAATGAGTCAAAATTGATAGGAATATGGTAAGTAGAGCTCAGTTGATAAAATAAGATTATCAATTTTGGAAGGTAGTTGGAATAAAACCCAATGATGTAATAAATGCAAGAAAGAGTTTAAGGAAAAATAGAAAGAAATTTTTAAGATACAGGGAAGGAACATTAGTCACCAAGGCAAGCAAAGTTTAGTAACCATCTCTTTTCGAACACATAAATCAGGGTTTTTTTATTGAATTAAGTACATGAAGATTGGCAGTCCTTTCAAATTTTACACAAATAATTTGTAACATAACTATCTCAGTACTAGTGAATTCCCTTGTAAAGTACAATTTTAATAATGAACTAAATGTTACAAGTAGATTTCTAGAAGTTTTATATTTCTATTTAAATAGCATAGTAAACTAATATGTTGATATGTATTTCAAACATGAATACTAATCATTCTATATAATAAGCTTTCTTTTCTATTAAAATGAGTCTAAATTGATAATGTTATGTAACATTAAAGTGGAAGAATGTTGTATTTGTAAAATCTCAGCGAATGAATTTCTGAAGTAAATCCAACGTTTCGCCTGACAACCTGGTTCAAGCTTTTTTCTAAGGGAATATAATCAAACATCAAAATTATCGAAAATGAAGATATGTATAGTTCTCCGGTTCACTATATACTGAATAGGTCATCCAATCTACGTTAACAATGTTTAAAGTAGGTATTTGCATTGAGTGTGTAAGAGACATATGGTGTAAAACGATTGTATGTGTCCGCAAGTGGTATAAGAAGTAATTTCTCTGGTCAGTGAATTTTTAAAAAATATATAATTTTATGTATGATATGATTCCCAAATGTCACACATGTTGATTGAATGATCTATTCAGTATACACCTCTTCATTTTCGATAATTTTGATGTTTGATTATATTTTCTTGAACCACGTTGTCAAACGAAACTTTGGATTTACTTCAAATTCATTCGCTGACATTTTACGAATACAACATTCTTCCTCTTTAATGCCTCACATCAACCCGGCGACCAAATACTGTGAATCTATTAGGTCAGATTTAGACGAAAGTTTGCTTTTTCTGCTCTTGATGTGAACAAACACAATCATATGTCAGTTGTTTACAACCTATGATCTTTTAAAATCATAATCCTTAAGATCCAATAATAATAATAATAATATTGAACAAAGCAGTTCCAAATAAATTCTGGAACATCAATATAGTAACTGAAAATCATAGGCTTTAAAATTATTTAATTCTTGAGCTAATTAGCTGAACTAGGTTATTGGTGACTCATAGTAACGGGAGTTGAGATAAGGCAGTTTGAAAAGATTTTGTAATAAAATGAGTTGTGGGAAGAGATTTATGACAATTTACCTTCTGAATTCATAAATTCGGTCTGAGGTGTTCGATTACTAAGATCTAGATAAGTTTGGGAAGCTAAAGTTCTATTATCCCTTAATCATCTAGGAAGATTTGGATTTGTCAACTTGACATTTTGTGTCAAATAGAGATGTCTTGATATTGAAATGTTGAAAGCTTATAATTCTTTTAAACGTAAGAATTCTGGAACATGTTGTCGGAATTGAATGTAGGCCTTTCTTTCTGTTCTGCCGATGTAACTGCACACAGTGAGCGGTAGCATAAATATGGTACCTATCAATCTTTGATTGGGATGTTGCGATATTTTTCGTGTATTTTATAAGGTCTTCTTCATCGTAAGTTAAATTTTATTTGAAATAAATTAATGTACCCAAATACTTTGGGATAAAATACTCACCTTTCACTTTGATTAAAATTTGGAGTTTTAAGTCACCTTGAGTTTGGATTAACTGGTAAACAATTTTACGCCTAGTCATTTTACAGGTGAAACAGATGTCAATAACTACACGATCACAAATCCTACACTAAAAACTTTTAAGTATAAGATGAATATCTAGTAGTTTACTAAAAAATCTATCAGTTATATCCATAGTTAGCTAATAGATCTGCAGCACAACTACTGTTTATTACAATTAGACAAAATTCAGTATAAATAAAGTATTTCACATTCCTAACTTAATCAATTTTGAATGTAAGTAAGTATTCATGAAACTCGATCTCTTTCAAGTTTTTGTGAAGTAACTATAGATGAGACTATAAACAAAGATGGATGATGGCTAGAAGCGGGATCCAGGATGGACGTTTCATTCTATTTGGGACTTGTCAGCTGGAGCGAACATTAATTCTGGGATTCAGAAATATCCAGCTGACAAGTTCCAAAAAGAGCGAACACGCATCCTGGATTCCACTGTTAACCACCATCCATCTACGCTTATAATATTTGTGATTTAAAGCAATATTAAGACAATTCTCGCAGGATGAACATATGACAATCAGATACTGATAAATTGTTGTCCTAAACATGAATTAGAAGATTCAAACAACCAATACAAAAATGAATTATAGATGAGATCATCTAAAGCAGTGAGAAAGCATATACGAAGATACAATAAAATATGGAGAACTCAAATTATAATTTTGTCTCATAAGTTGTATGCTCTGACTTATCTGTGTAAATTGTTCGTCAAATAGTTGACAAGTTCAGCCTTTATTTGTGTACAACGCATCGAAGTAGTTGAACTGATTTTCTTTCATAATACTAAACATTCAATATAATTTAAACCATCACTTGTAAGACTAATCTTCCTTAATTTTCATTGTATGCTTTCATCTATCCATTTTTTCTCAAGTTTCCATTTATGTACGAGTATTAACAATTTAAAAGACTAGTATTTGAACGAAGAATATTCTTTTCGATAAATTCTCTTCAGGTTCTACAATTATATATCCAAATTAATAATCCGAAAAATGGCCAGTTTAAGGGTAAAGTACATCGTTTAAAGCATGTGAATTTAGGATTGTGGTAAATAAAATACAATAAAATTGTGCATGTTGTTATGACTCACAAAGAATGTTAACTTGAATCTGAGTTTATGTTCAGTGAGATTTTAAGATCTATGATCAGAATAAATATGGGTCAAGTAGGGTGAGAAAAATAATAGTGCAATTGCCATTCGATCAAATAGGTAAGACGTAATAAGGAGGGAAGAATCATGTATAGGGGAGATTAATAATGAATACGAAAAATAATAATAACAATAATAATAATACAATGATTTATGAATAAAGATAACTGAGAAAATTACAATTGACTACGAAAGGTCATAGTCAAATTACGTCATTCAATAGTTAAGATTACGATTGATTAATTGGCCTTGATGTTGGCCAGGGGAGGAGGAGTGGTTGAATATATTTCTTCTGTACACATAGCTCCGGTTTCTTCATCCGGATGGCTATTGCTTCAGCTGTTTGAAGGACTTTCAGTCTGACCAGTTTGGGCAAAAAATTACTGACCTTATAAATAATTGAAAAAGACTGGTTTATACTGGCACTATGACCAGTTTGTACTAAATGGGCTAATATTGAGCTGTTCACTTTCTTCATCAAACCTTTGTTAAGCCACGCTGGAAGGTGTTCACGAGCACGAAAATGTAAATTCCTAGAACTTCGACCAATGTAACTCGCTCCACAGGAGCAGTCGAACTGATAAATGCAAAATGAGGTGGTCATTCTAGGTAATTCATCTTTTAGTCTCGGTGTAACCATTGGGCGCGTAGAAAACACTAATCGCAGTTCTCCGGCGTTAAAAGATTTTTGTATTGTCCTACGTAGTCTCTGAGTTAATATTTCACTCGCCACATCCCCTCTGAATTGTAAACGCATGAACAGGGATTTCTTCTTCACTGTTTGTATTTCGCCTATTTTCGCCTTCGTGATCATATATTTAGTTATAAACTTTCTAGGGTAGCCGTTCTCCCTGAGAGTATTATGCAAGCTGTTAAGCTCTTGTTCAACTATATCAGCAGAACATATAGCGCGTATACGATAACTAAGGGTTTTGATCAGGTTTCGTTTGTGCTGTAGAGGTACAAAGCTAAGAAAATGGGTATACTGTCCAGTCCATGTACTTTTTTTGTTTAAGTTCCTTTTCAACGACCCGTCCGCTCTCTTAGTCAAGAGAACGTCCAGAAAAGCTATTCGGCCCTCATTTTCTTCTTCTGATGTAAACTGCATGGCTGGATGTACTTCATTAAATCGCCTAAGAACCTCTTGTGGTGACGTATTATCTTTACACAGAATGAACGTGTCATCCATGTATCTACAGTAAAATGTGAAGTTTTGAATAATCTTTTTCAGTGGACCATTTTCTATTTTTGCTAGAAAAATATCAGCTAGTATAGGGCCTAGTGGTGAACCCATTGCAACCCCATCTGTTTGTCTATATATTTCACCGTTGAACTTAAAATTCACATTCATGGTGCATTTGAGTAATAATTCTTTCACGATATTAATAGGAACAGTAGTCTCGATTTCGTTTTCAATCAGTTGTTCGCCTATATATTCTACAGTCTCAATGAGTGGGACGTTTGTGAATAGCGATGTTACATCCAATGACATCATCTTTAGACCCAGCGTATTTGCATTTTTGATTTTATCAACAAATTGGAACACATCCTTAACACTATATTTTACAAGCTTTTCGTGTAGCGGATTATTAATTTGGATATATAATTGTAGAACCTGAAGAGAATTTATCGAAAAGAATATTCTTCATTCAAATACTAGTCTTTTAATATGACTGGGATATTTAAACGATTAAAATATTAACAATTTCATGAATACAGTAAAATGTCACATTGTGAAATGTTATCAAATAAATATTTGAGCGGGTAGATTCACATTATTCATCAAAATTTAACTAACCAAACACTACTAATTGACTCCTTAACTGAACTCTTACAAGTGGTATTGTAATGAACATGATCATAGACGAGAACAACCAAATGTCTCCCAAATGCAACATTGCAGAATATCTTGGTAAAATCTGAGAACCATACAGTAAATAATTCATCTGCAAATTATCCATCGATTGTCTGAAACTTTGTTGTTCCTTCGTTTCTATACCGATCACTCCTTGTTCTCATTCTCTTCTTTTTGATTTTTTCAATCGTCTGCCGCCAGACAATCCACTTTCGATTGGTGATACATACTTTTATTTGTCGGCATCAGTAGTGCACACCACAGTACTATTTTCTACAATTTTTTTCATCTATCTTTAATGTTTGTTTTGTCAAACAATCCTTTCATGATACTTGACTAATTGTTTAAGATAATTTGTTATTTAATTATAATGTTTACCTTGATAAATTACCAAACAAAACAATGATTTGACTATTTTTTTTTACTTTCCTTTGTATTTAGCAAAAAAGATAAACCCCAGTAAGAAATCATGTTTAGAGTAAACAAGAAACCAATATATTTGTTCCATTAATTCATACACCATTACATGTTAAATTTATTTCTTTATCAAAGATTTCTATGAATTAACACATGTATCGTATTGATATGGTTTAATCATTATCGTTAAGTTAAATAAGATTAGATGTGACCGGAAAATTAGAAATTGTTTCCTGTGTTATGCACGTACAAACACGAAATGTCCTCATGCATTATTCATTCTCTTTTCATAACATTGTACCATTATTGATGATAAGTCAGTTAATCAATATCAACAGAAAACATGGCACATAAGCGTGTTGAACAAGTTGCCATATCAGATTAATACAATGAGATTAAAAATGAACAAGATAGAAAGGAAATGAGAGTGAAATAATTTAGTAGAAATATTGATGAGAAAAAGTGAAGATTAATGGTAAGGAAGAGACTGATTGTGGCTATCAGTGGAATCTAGGACACACATTTTGTTTTATTTGAGACTCGACTGATAATTGCACTTGGATCAGTGTTGATGTTCATTTCAGGACTGGAAACACGTTAGCCATCTAGCCTGTGAGATCAGACAACCACCCACTTGTGTAACGGTTACGAACTTAATATCATTGTTTGGATGGGTTTAGATTATCCCGTTGTTAATACTGTTTGACTCCTAAAGTTAACATCAACCCTAGGACGAAGATACATTCAGCTGACGAGTCCTAAATAGAATGAAATGTGTACCCTAAATGAACTTCTAGTCACAATCAACCTATTCAATATACTGTTATGAAAAAAAGGTCATATTGAGGAAACATGCACAGGATAAACTATGCCAGTTAAGACTGATCGAAATTCGGTCGTTAATATTAACAGCAGAACAATCCAGACCCATTCTAATAATAATGTTAAGGGTATATTTTAGAGCGATTGAGTGTAAAGGTCTATATGAAGGAGTTCAAGATCTAGAGAAAGAATGCATCAGCGCTATTGTGACTGATTCCAAGCCATATCAATCAAAGCTCCTAACCAATGATTACAGTTATTTTGCTGACTCCAACCAACTAATGTACATCTACCAACAATAATTGACCTCATTGGCTGATGTCACGTTATGGTTCGTTTGTACCTAGCTATCTTCCAAACTAATTCTACACTAGCAAACACCTCCAGCCAAGGTAGTGAGTGGTTAGGTACAATTAACAAAGGTCTTAACCACTTTAGTCGATGAACGTTGACAAACTCATCGACGAAAGCTCAGTAATAGACTGATTATATTTAACCACTATGAAACAAATTACTTATATATAAAAAACAAGATACTAGCAGACCCTAGTTTGATAAAAGTAAATATGCAACTTCTAAAAAAAAGACCACCATTCTCATGAGAAGGTAGCTTTGTGAAATCAGTGTACGATAATATTTTTCACTGAACAATTGTTTTATCCAATTGATGTTTAACTTCAAAAACAAAATTCAAACAAACATTAACAAAAGAAAACTAGATCGAGTTAAGGGAGCAATTTAAACAAATAGTCCAATTCACAAATACAACATTTAAATCAATTAGTCCCTATGATAAATTTCGATCGCATAATAAGAAGACGAAGATAATCAGACCTATGTGATATTTATTAGCATAATACATTTCGAACAATCTGATCATTTAGAAGTGATTCAAATAGCCTTTTATTAAAGCAAAGGCTTAAATCAGACGTATTATCCAGCAAAGGTCGTTATCAAGGAAAGAACAAGGTGCATGTTTCATTGAAAATCTAAATGACTTGAAAATGACTGCGTCACATCCCAGTGTTGACCAATTTAAACATATTACATAAGGAGTAATTATGATCTCAAAATTAGGGTATCTGAACATTTACCTAAACGGTTGCAGAAACAAAAAGAATCAAGTGACTCAATAAGAGTAGAGGATAAACATCCATCATCCTCTACTGCTAAACATGTAATCGAAACAGGACATAAGACTGATCTAAACTCGGCTTTTGTGGTGTAGTACAAAAGTGTTAAAAGGCACATACTAAAGTTTATTGAAGCCTTAGCCATACGAAAATTCAAACCCCCTCTGTGTAATCAAAAACAGTTTGTACTCTCGTTAAACCTACCTTGGTAATATTGGTTTATTATCCAGTGATTAGATTTCAAATTGTGTCTTTGTCTCCTCTCACCCTCCATTTCCAGTCTAATTGACCTTTTATCCTTTTAATATATATAAATGTTCTAAACAAGTATATGTGTGATCAGATTCTTCGAAATGTATTGCTCTAATATATCATCACATAGTTCTGATAATCTTATTATTATTACACTATCGGAATACAACATTGTTTAGCGTTTGAATTATTTTTTTTGGTTAGTGTTTTTTCAGAGATCTAGTTTTCTACGGGTCGCTAATCTCATGGCCAACCCTTCTCCTTTATCCGGGTTTGGGACCGGCAGTAGCCCCAAAGGGGCTCCAGGCAGAGTTACAATATTGTTTATGAGAGATATTCCTTTTTTATAGTTGATTAAACTTGGAATTTATCAATTCACACACACACTTTAATTTCACCTAGTGACTATATTTTAAAAATTTATTAGGTTCTAAGAGTGTTCGAAGAACTTCGTTTTGCTCATTTCAATTTGAATTTTTTATTTATTGACAAATTACTTTTAAGAAAATGTTGTAATTGTCATTCAACTAATTTTTTATATTTTTAGTAGCTCTAAGGATAAGTAAGAGATTTTAGCTGTTTTGTTTTGTTGCTATTTTTTCTTAGATGTTATTCATCATCGTAATAGTTTATAATCAGTGAGGGGTTTTGTGGATAATATAGTAATTTAATAGTTGAGATAATGAGTCAGTTGAAGCTAGACCACAATGGAAGACCTAGAAGCACTGAATGGCCATTTCGTCTTAGTGTGGGACTCCTCAGCAGTGCACATCCACGATCCCGCCCCGCGGGATTCGAACCCAGGACCTATCGTTCTGGCGCCCGGACGCTTAATCTCTAGACTACTGTTACCGTATCCAACGGTGTTAATGTCTAATTTGAAAAAAAACAAAGAATTTCACGAATTATTGATTATTGTATGGTTATTTTTTATTTTTAAGAAAAAAAGACGATCATAGTCAGTAAGTTTTGTATTTTATAGTAAATTTATAAAATGAGTCAACTACTTGAGGTGAATGAACCTTCTTAATTTACAGTAGATTCGATACATGTCAGGGGTATTACTAATAACATATATATGTTGCCCTTTGTAGTAACACTAAATTTATAATAATTCAGAGAATTTACAGTTTGTTTGTTTTCTTAAGGAGGTATTTTTGTAACTAGTTAGTATATAAGAGTTCTGTCTTCAATAGCCAAGTAATTTATGAAAGTAAAACAGCAAGAAGGAAAAATTTATTTGAGAAATCTCAGCAATCAAATTTAAAGTACATCCAGCATTACTCTCAGCGATTTAGTCTACGTTTTTTTCAAAGAGATATAATCAAATATTAAAATTAATGAATATAAATAGGTACATGGTTCTTCCATTAACTGTATAGTAAATATTTCCTTACAAAATCTTGAATCAGATTACCCAGGAAAACATTGAACTTACTTCAAATTCATTTACTGAGATTTTACCAATACATTCTTACATCAATTCGGCGTCCAAATACTCTGAAACTATTGATTCAAATTCAGACGAAAGCTCTTATAAAGTGAAACAGTGTTTTCTGAATAATATTATTTTAGCAATATCCTCTTTATGAGATGGAATCGCTAGCCTCATAACTAGGTCTCCTCCTTTACTCAGGCTAAGGACAGGCACTCATCTTGGAATTACTTCACGTTGAATTAAAGTAAAACAGACTAAAAGTAGTAGAAAGTTTTCATGTTTCTAGACGAATTCATTATTCAATTACTTTCCTGTATCACCAAGTACTGTAAATGATCCTTCATACACTTCACAGTTCAAATATTGTTCAATCTATAAAAAGGCATATTTTAATCATACTTTTTTCAGTGTAATGTAATATAATATAATTTCTGGTTTACTTCCACTTTCAAAAGTCACAAATCGGGTTCAAAACATCGGTGAGTGTTATTATATTCTTCAATGAATCATATAAATTATTAAAGAAGCATCAGACATTATCTAAAAATATCCTTGATTATATATGAAATAAACACCCAGTGATAGGTATATTAGTAGTGAAATTAATAGTAATTATTTCAGTACTTCAAGTAAGCTACCGACTCATATTGATAAATCTTACAGTGTAGGTTTTCATGGATTCTTAATAGTGTACAAACGTTCTTTGATATAAGTTAGATGAAAGTTCCAATGATAGTTTATTAAGTGTATTGACATGCTAACTTTGAAGTAATTCGTTATTTGGTTACTTTAGAATGGTGAAGAATAGTCGCTACCTGAATAGATTAAGAGGTAATATTCCCAATTGCACCAAACTGTGACTCAGATTGTAACGTAGTTGGGAGCGATAGATCAGTTATTATATATTCCTTGATATCAAGTACTTGCTAGATCAAAATTTACTTGTATAACTTCTCGATTATCTACAGAAAAACAACAACAACAACAGTATCTCGTCACACTTACTCATTTGAAAATAGTACAACGTTACAACTCAATCTACAATACTCGACGAGAGATAAAGACTAAAAGCATGATACTGTTAACACTCGATGATTAGTTGGTGTTAAAAAGAGTAGGACTTACTCACATATTCATAGTGAACTAAATATCAACATACCATTTTATTATGAATGTATATACCATGTTTCTTAAACTATGAATATAACTACATTTATTATTTATCTTATATTTCAAAAGTCACGTATCTCTATATTTCAATCCGTCTTACAACTCCTGAGCTCTCTAATTACCTATAAGAGTATTAACTTCAAAATCGTGACTAAAACAATTTATGCTCTTCTATCGGTGATACAGTTGATATCACTGGTGACGATGATACATTTTAATAGAATAAATGAATGTAAGAATCATTTTCTCCCAAATAGATTGATCGGTTCGAAAATTAATTAACAAATATGTTTCTATATTATAATATTCATAATCAATATCTTGGTCCCCATGTTCTTTCTTTTAAAAAATTTATTTGATTAGTTCTGGGTCATCGTAAGTTAATGTTTGATAATTGATCTAAATTTGAAATTGCCATCTCACTTAAATTAGATACATAATAGACATTTAATATTAAAGCCCCATGAATTACGTAATGATCGAGTTGATATTCCCTGACCAGCAAACTAGTAGATACTGCTGTTTCAGCTGACATTTTTCTCTTAAATTTGTTTTAATCACGTTCTATTAGGTCACGTTCTTTTTAATTTTATTATATTACCAATTTAAAGATAATATAGGACAACTCAGCAGTGTACATCTACCATCTCGCAGGCGGAAATCAGACTCAAGATTTTAGGTCTCGCTTGTAAACTCTGTGCATGCCAACTGAGTGGTCTAGAGGTCAATGATTTGCGAGTGACATCGAAGGTCCTGTGTCTCATTTTCTGTCTCAGGGTTGTTCATTCTTCTCATGTCCATCTTCATTTCTCAGCGTAATGTGTTCTTTGGTATTCCACTTCTCATTTGGCCTTGAGGATTGCATGTGAGAACTTGCCTTGTGACGCAGTTTGGTTCTTTGCTCAATGTGTGTCCTATCCACCTCCGGCTCCTCTTCCTGATTTCTTCCTCCTTCCTTCCTGGAATCTGGTTTGTTCTCTCCTGAAGTAGGTTGTTGCCGATAGTGTCTCGCTAGTGGATCCGAAGTATTTTACGTAGACAACTGTTAATAAACATTTATATCTTCCTGATGATGACATTCGTAGCTCTCCAGGTTTCCGTCTCATACAGTAGAACTGTCTTGACCTTTGTATTGAAAATTCTGAATTTTGTGTTGGTTGACAGTTCAGTTCACTAGAGTAATATTCCTAAAACACTTACATGAGTTCCAATGATCAATATAACATTATAAATGAACACGTTTCCTGGTGGAGTTTTGTTTTCTGAGCTGGTTGGTTTGGTTGTGCTCATAGAACAAAATTGTATCAAAATCATCCCTCTTAGCTACAAATCTTCTTCACCATCTCATAACACGTTTTCTTCAAGTAAATCATTTTATCTATACATAAGTGGCATTTATATTTCAAAACTATCCGTATATATAAAACGCCTAAACTACAAAATAATATAAAGGAGAATATATTCATCTGATAATAGATAATGTTTTAGTTTAGCACAAAACATTCATCATTCAACAAATCATTGTCAGAATTGTTTTTCAAACTAACAAAACGAAATAATAATGTAAAACTGATACTCTATTTTAAATAAGAAAGATTAGTTCAGTGAATTTGCCGAAAATAGTACTCTTCACTGAACTAATCTTTCTTATTTGATGTCTTAATGGGTGCATTTCGTTTACTCTATTTTAAGTCATATGGGTTTAGAAAGATATATCAATGTGAAATTGACACCTAATTCTCAATTGAATCTTTTGATTAAAGGCATAATCATAAGAAGTTACTTAATTAAAGCTGATTTAATAATTTTCTTCTTAAGATTTGCTGTGATTGTTTTGTTTCTTTTTTGTTTGAAAATTCATTATATTTTATTACTATGGGGTTGTAGAGGCTGTTAAGTTTTAGATTGAGATCATGAATCGGTTGATTTTAGACTACCGTTGAAAACATGGAAACACTGAATTGCCATTTCGTCCTAATATGACACTCCTCAGTAGTGATCTAATATCAATCGATTCATGATCTCAATCATTATATTTTATAGTTGTCTTCTGACTAATTAATATCCTTGTTGATATGATAACATGAGTTGGTTTGACAGTATAAATGGATTGTTTGAGATATATTTCTCTTCTCATGTATGAAACAGTATTCATTAATCTCTTAGAAATCCATTCAATATGTTAAATGTTAATGTAGTTAAAAATGGTAATTTACATAAACGAATAATCTGAAATATACATTGAATGTCATTCAAATTACGGAATGTGTTTTTGGATTAGAAAATATGTAGTTGGTAATAGGTTAGAATTATTTTCAAGCAATATTGATCTATTATCATATCATAACCAAACTATCTAGATCAAAGAACAAACCTTCATCAAGATGTGATATCATGTATAACTCATCTAATTATAATCAACCATTATGTATTCATAAAATTTTACTTTTGTGCAAATTACAATAAAATTTGAAGTGTATGAAAGATTAATATGTCTCATAAATTTTTTCAGGACCTTGAACAAGTTTTGGAACCTTAAAATTTAGGTTCTTTCATCACAGTTTATTTCTAGATACTATATAAAGCCTAATTTATTTTTTTGTTCGATTTCACATACTTCTCAAAGTTTTCATTGCATGAGCAGAACCGAAGATTGTAGAAAAAATTCGTTTGAACATGTGTAGATAAAAAAAACTGTCTAATAAAATCAAATCGATGAAAGAACCATCTGTTATTAGTTGATATTTAGAACGGAATATGAATCCATGATAAGGATCTCTCTTTGTATTTACACTACATTTCTATTCAATGATTGTATTATAAACATTCTAAGGATTCTAAAAAATCTTATATTATTGAAAAGAGTAAGAACAAACATTCTAGCACAATAGCATGAATTCATTTTTATTTCGTCTGGTTCTCATTAACTGCTTACAACCTGTGATATTTAAAAATCATAATTACATAATGGGTTTAAATTACTTACATGAGAGGGTTTAGTTGGAAGTTATATTGAAGACATATTAGTATAGTATAGCAAGGGTGTAAATAAATTTAATAGACTGAATAGTGTAAATATATACCTTATGTAAAAGAACATTGTGACAACAGTTCAAATGGCCACAATCAAGTGATTACACAATGAGTCAAAATTGATAGGAATATGGTAAGTAGAGCTCAGTTGATAAAATAAGATTATCAATTTTGGAAGGTAGTTGGAATAAAACCCAATGATGTAATAAATGCAAGAAAGAGTTTAAGGAAAAATAGAAAGAAATTTTTAAGATACAGGGAAGGAACATTAGTCACCAAGGCAAGCAAAGTTTAGTAACCATCTCTTTTCGAACACATAAATCAGGGTTTTTTTATTGAATTAAGTACATGAAGATTGGCAGTCCTTTCAAATTTTACACAAATAATTTGTAACATAACTATCTCAGTACTAGTGAATTCCCTTGTAAAGTACAATTTTAATAATGAACTAAATGTTACAAGTAGATTTCTAGAAGTTTTATATTTCTATTTAAATAGCATAGTAAACTAATATGTTGATATGTATTTCAAACATGAATACTAATCATTCTATATAATAAGCTTTCTTTTCTATTAAAATGAGTCTAAATTGATAATGTTATGTAACATTAAAGTGGAAGAATGTTGTATTTGTAAAATCTCAGCGAATGAATTTCTGAAGTAAATCCAACGTTTCGCCTGACAACCTGGTTCAAGCTTTTTTCTAAGGGAATATAATCAAACATCAAAATTATCGAAAATGAAGATATGTATAGTTCTCCGGTTCACTATATACTGAATAGGTCATCCAATCTACGTTAACAATGTTTAAAGTAGGTATTTGCATTGAGTGTGTAAGAGACATATGGTGTAAAACGATTGTATGTGTCCGCAAGTGGTATAAGAAGTAATTTCTCTGGTCAGTGAATTTTTAAAAAATATATAATTTTATGTATGATATGATTCCCAAATGTCACACATGTTGATTGAATGATCTATTCAGTATACACCTCTTCATTTTCGATAATTTTGATGTTTGATTATATTTTCTTGAACCACGTTGTCAAACGAAACTTTGGATTTACTTCAAATTCATTCGCTGACATTTTACAAATACAACATTCTTCCTCTTTAATGCCTCACATCAACCCGGCGACCAAATACTGTGAATCTATTAGGTCAGATTTAGACGAAAGTTTGCTTTTTCTGCTCTTGATGTGAACAAACACAATCATATGTCAGTTGTTTACAACCTATGATCTTTTAAAATCATAATCCTTAAGATCCAATAATAATAATAATAATATTGAACAAAGCAGTTCCAAATAAATTCTGGAACATCAATATAGTAACTGAAAATCATAGGCTTTAAAATTATTTAATTCTTGAGCTAATTAGCTGAACTAGGTTATTGGTGACTCATAGTAACGGGAGTTGAGATAAGGCAGTTTGAAAAGATTTTGTAATAAAATGAGTTGTGGGAAGAGATTTATGACAATTTACCTTCTGAATTCATAAATTCGGTCTGAGGTGTTCGATTACTAAGATCTAGATAAGTTTGGGAAGCTAAAGTTCTATTATCCCTTAATCATCTAGGAAGATTTGGATTTGTCAACTTGACATTTTGTGTCAAATAGAGATGTCTTGATATTGAAATGTTGAAAGCTTATAATTCTTTTAAACGTAAGAATTCTGGAACATGTTGTCGGAATTGAATGTAGGCCTTTCTTTCTGTTCTGCCGATGTAACTGCACACAGTGAGCGGTAGCATAAATATGGTACCTATCAATCTTTGATTGGGATGTTGCGATATTTTTCGTGTATTTTATAAGGTCTTCTTCATCGTAAGTTAAATTTTATTTGAAATAAATTAATGTACCCAAATACTTTGGGATAAAATACTCACCTTTCACTTTGATTAAAATTTGGAGTTTTAAGTCACCTTGAGTTTGGATTAACTGGTAAACAATTTTACGCCTAGTCATTTTACAGGTGAAACAGATGTCAATAACTACACGATCACAAATCCTACACTAAAAACTTTTAAGTATAAGATGAATATCTAGTAGTTTACTAAAAAATCTATCAGTTATATCCATAGTTAGCTAATAGATCTGCAGCACAACTACTGTTTATTACAATTAGACAAAATTCAGTATAAATAAAGTATTTCACATTCCTAACTTAATCAATTTTGAATGTAAGTAAGTATTCATGAAACTCGATCTCTTTCAAGTTTTTGTGAAGTAACTATAGATGAGACTATAAACAAAGATGGATGATGGCTAGAAGCGGGATCCAGGATGGACGTTTCATTCTATTTGGGACTTGTCAGCTGGAGCGAACATTAATTCTGGGATTCAGAAATATCCAGCTGACAAGTTCCAAAAAGAGCGAACACGCATCCTGGATTCCACTGTTAACCACCATCCATCTACGCTTATAATATTTGTGATTTAAAGCAATATTAAGACAATTCTCGCAGGATGAACATATGACAATCAGATACTGATAAATTGTTGTCCTAAACATGAATTAGAAGATTCAAACAACCAATACAAAAATGAATTATAGATGAGATCATCTAAAGCAGTGAGAAAGCATATACGAAGATACAATAAAATATGGAGAACTCAAATTATAATTTTGTCTCATAAGTTGTATGCTCTGACTTATCTGTGTAAATTGTTCGTCAAATAGTTGACAAGTTCAGCCTTTATTTGTGTACAACGCATCGAAGTAGTTGAACTGATTTTCTTTCATAATACTAAACATTCAATATAATTTAAACCATCACTTGTAAGACTAATCTTCCTTAATTTTCATTGTATGCTTTCATCTATCCATTTTTTCTCAAGTTTCCTACTATTAATTCAATGTGTCTTATTTAACATTTAACTTAGATCGGATTCTGACCATAAAAAGTAAGTGTCATTACATATGAGATGAACAAATAGTTCATTATTAAATGTAGTATATAACTGTAAAAAAAGTAGTATTCAATACAACGATTTACAAGTTAAGTAAATTTTCAATTATGTGTCAGTCTTCAGGTAAGTAGGATTTAGGATTTCAATATCTAAATAGCTAAGTAGTAATATGTAGACTGATTTCGATCGACATCAATGAACTGGTAATTTGTATTGGAACTCTGACTAACACTCACTAAAAAATCAACGAAGAACTGTGAAGACAGATAAGAGTGTCCTGGTTGTACTCTGTTGAAAAAGTTACACTATGATTATCGACCTAAGTAAATTTAACATCGTTTTGAATACTTCAAAAGTAACGTTGGAGACTATAAAGCTTGGTGACTATAGTTTGAATCCTGCCGGAAGTGACAGTTTCTTCAAGATTGTAGAAACACCTTGATGACTAGTAGCACCTGGAATTAAACTCAAGTTAGAAAGAGGTTCTTAATGTCTTCTTCCAACTATCTAGCATTGGAAGTTTTAAATTCCACATTCTAAGAAATATTTAACGCCTAATGCCAAACCATTCATTTAGGTTAACTTTTAAGTGGTTCGTAATTAATTTTATCGTTATCTTTGTCAACATAAACATTTTTTGATACTTTCAAACAATAGGAAGTAAAAGTCATGGAATTAGTAAGTTCTTACACTTATGTTGATAAAGACATGTTGTTTTGAATAGCATTTATTACAGTTAGTGTTGTGTAATGTATACAATGAGAATACACGATATAAGATACATGTTAAATAAATTACCTCCCTTAGTTCTAATATACGACAAGCTCGCAAGCATCAAAACACTTTCGCAATGAAATGGCATGAGAACATGGAAATTATAAGTTTCAATTGAGAAGAACTAAACCGTATTCTGGTAGCTTTTAACGACATATTCTAAATTAATTGTCGTTTTCACTTAAATAAATCGAATTGTAAGAAATAATAATAAAAGGAATTGGAATGTAAACCAATATTCAGTCAATTGTTGATAGGCGCGATTAAAAATTTATGAATCATGTATTAAGTAACGTCTACTTTATTTATTTCTCCCTTAATAGTCGTCAACCCTATCTCCGACAAACATTTTGTATATATTCACTTTTTCTCAGTATATCGAGATTTAGTTTTATTCTGGGTTTAATAATGAAAATAATTTTCAATAAAATGAATTACATGTTGAATTTGTTGTCTCGCCGCCTCAACTTCCTCATATAATTAAAAAGGGCAAACTTCACATTCTAGTGTTTAGGTATTATTATACTTTAAATTAAAAGGTAGGAATGGTGCTTTTGAAGTGAAAGCATATTAAACTTTAAAAAACAAATTGATATTGTGGTGTGGGTTACTTATATCTACATAAGTAGTATATAACGGTGGTCAGGCATAGAATGTATTTCAGTAGATAATAGATAAGGAGAGAACAGGAATGGAGAACGGAACGCAATTGGTATGAAGTGTATCAACAATGAAATCTGAGACAATGGACTGATACTTGCAAAAGGAACAGTCAAGTTTGAGACAATGGATTGATATATTGCAAATTAACTATTTACCAAATGGTTCTCAGATTTTAGTGAGACGTTCTGTAATTTCGTGTCAAATACATTCGATTGTCCCCACTCGTGTTCTTGTTCACTACAATATCACTGGAAATTTGGAATTTATTGGGATGCCTATTAAACACTAATATAATCATGTGAATGGTTTTGGTAGAAAAGTAGAAAATAAACTTATTTCATAAATCGGATTAAAGAAATCCTAATAGGGAATAAAACATGATAGGCAATTGACAATCGTATATGAACTTTTTATTTAACAACTTATAAACTAATGTAATCTACCTACCCAAGGTCTCCTGATTTTCACTTATTCTCCAGATTACGTCAGTTTATGGTAAAAAAAAACATCATACAGTATCTCATTTGTCAAGTAAAGATGTATATAATATGCTATCACTTTGTTTAAATGGTATTTACGCTAGATGACTGATTAACCAAATCGAGGTATATGAAATCATATTGGAAACTGTACGTCGACTACATGAACTCAAAGGCATTGTTATATGTATTTAATCGTATAGCAACTGTCACTATAGTTTCATAAATTTTAATTTCTTCTTAAGCAGCTTTTTGTTTTCTTGGAATCTTTATCATTAAATACCTATCAATGACTTTTCTTATTCATTCTATTTTAGATGAAAATGAAACGTTTTTCCAATTTATTTCATTAGTTATTTTCTCATTAAAGTTAATTATTATTAAAATACATTCGTTTAAGTTAATGTAAAACGAAGTCTGTTTTCTTTACAAGCTCTAGTTTATCAAAACTTTGTATATTAGAAGTGGTCCAATGATTAAGCGCTCGCGCGCGAGACTGATAGGTACTGGGTTCGAATCTCGCGGGGGCGGGATCGTGGATGCGCACTGCTGAGGAGCACCATACTGGGACGAAAGGGCCGGCTGTCTAGTGCTTCCAAGTTTTCCATGGTAGTCTACCTTCAATTGAATCATGATTTCAACTACTGATATTTGAGAACTGTAGAACACAATAGCATTCTCATGAGTAAACAATACAGACATATTATTTTGAATAAGAAAACGAGAATTCAGCGAAAATTTTCTTTTCGACGAAATCATTTACTTAAGCTGTACATTCGGATATATAGTTATGTGGAAAATGTATGTCTATAGAAGGATAGAAAAAATTGCATCACCAAAATGGATTCGAGGATGAATAACAAATAGGGTTACGTAATAATCAAGGGGTAAGGAAGAAAATCGTTTATAGGTCAGATAATAGTTCAATTGACAAATATGAAGAAAAGCGACAAACACAGAGGTCATAATAATAGACTGAATAATAATCAAGAAAACTTGTATAAGGTAATAATAATAATAATAATAATAATAATAATAAATGATTAGAGTTTGAAATGCAAAATAGTAATTTAAAAAAAATTGACAATAATCAAATAAAAGTGCAAAATAAACCAAAACCAAAAAAAAAACAGAAACATACCCATTAAATGAATTAGGGCCAAGGAAGGATGAAATGTTGAACAAATCGTTTCTGTACACTAAGTTCGGGCTTGAGTTCGTGAATTGCCAGTGCCTCAGCAGTGCATAAAATATTGATTCGACACTCCTTCGATCCAATTCCTTTGACTCTGTAGATCACTTCAAAAATAGAATACTCGGGAGGGGTGTGTCCGAAATTGATTAAATGCTCCTGTATAGAACTGGTGATTGTTTTACATTCTCCTTTTAAAAGCCAAGCCGGATAGTGTTCTGAGATGCGTTTGGACAGTGATCGCTTTGTTCGGTCTATATATTATTTTGACGCAAATCCTTTTTATAAAAAGATATCATGCTTAAACTTTGTAGTGGTCGGTATTTGCGATATAATCCTTAAACTTAGTAAATAGTTCATCTTGATAACTGTTACTAGATAATGTACCTAGCGGTGTCTAAATCAAAAGACGGGTGTGTAGTGTTGATCGTGTTTATTATTACACGACGCACAGATCCCTAAAACCACAGACACGTGAAACAAGAATGAAAGACTAATGCCAAAAAGAGAGCGTGAAAATTCTCAAGCTAACATGAATAGGATTAAGATGTACATATATATATATATATATATATATATATATATATATATATATATATATATATATATATATATATATATATATATATATATATGTATATATATATATATATATATATATATACATAGGGAAATGAGTAAAGCTCATCGAATCCATTAAGCGACTAACATTAAAGCTAGCAGAATGAATATGTACGTAGGTAGTAAGAAATGCTCAATCATACATATTCACACAAGCGCAACAATAATAAAGGTACAATGGTATAGATAAGTAGTTATTGTACGAATTACTATGTCCGTTAAATAAGTAAACAACTATTAACCTGACGGGTTTTTAAATATTATGTATATAAGCATTATCTGTTTAAAAAGATTGTTTTTGAATCACATTATTGCATATGGTAATGTTTCTTTTCAATGTAAAACATGAGTAGCTGAACAAATCAGTTTACTTCGTGATAAAACTACACTTAATATATGCACCAAGTAAATATTTTATAACCTTAGCTTCACTCATTTGATGCATCTCTCCAAAGTTCGTGCTTTACAACAAAAACAGTGTCTTCCAACATTTCCTTAACTTAGAAATCACCTGACACCTAAAAATTCTGGTTACGATAGGAAATAAGGCGAGACTCTAAATTAGGGACGAGCCAACCAGAAGCGTTTGAGCCATTTCAAGGTCACGGAGCCAAGTTTAACACCTGATGCTCACATACGATCGATTTACAGCGTATTGTAGAGAAGAGGTTATTATTGAGAGGCTACAAGGGATGGGACTACTAAAAGGTTCTTGTACGTGCGACTGCGGTTATCAAATGACAGCAGTAAAGTGTGCAGACCACCGTGGTGAGGTTATATTTCGTTGTTCTTCATGTTGGGGGAAAAAGTCTGCTAGAACGGGGACTTTCTTCGCTCGATCACGACTAAAACTGAGGCAGATCATGATAATAGTTGCGAATTGGGTAATAAAGACACCAGTAACACTGGCTGCCGCGTTTGCAGTTGTTACTGAAACTTCAGCAGTCCAGTGGTATGAGTACTGCCGTGACATATGTGCAACTAAATGACACATATACACCAATCATTCGGAGGAGTAGGATGTATTGTGCAAATAGGTGAAACGGTAGTGAGAAAGCGAAAATACAACAGGGGACGCAGTATAAAAGAAGATTGGGTAAGTAGCATTTTCGTAATTATACTCGACAGGTACTTGGAATTTATGACTTTTATACCGTATGCAATATGATTTGAAAACATCTGAACCTTTAGCAAACCTTGAAAAGTTTTTAAATCATGTAAAACAAGTATATCCACCGTAGTCCATTAGTTTCTTCTAGTATATTTTTACTTTATACTAACTGTCTTCTGATTGGCTAATATTCTCAAGGTCACTTAAAATTCGTTCAAACGTCGTCCTTAAATTAGTCTCGCCTGAAGTACTTAGAAGAGGTAATAAAGATTTGGTTTATGGATGGCGCTTGGGTGATCTGTTAACCTGAACTCTTCAAAAAGAATGCTAAATCGAGATGGAAACTTTTTTGTGATGACAAATGGCAAATAGTGACAACTTTAAGTTTGTGTTATTATCACAAACTTGAAGACATATTCCTACTCATTTTAATTTTTCCGTAGCATGGAATATGTAATCTATTAACTCGCATTGTTAAACCCAGTACACTAAGTTAGTGATCAGAGTAGCATAAGAATCAGGATAAAAATATGGCGGTAAGTTAGACGTTAAGTGTAAGAACAAATGACCTAAGTGACCGTGAAAAATTCAAACTTTCCAACCAATTAAAATGCTGAAAATATGAGCGAATCCTTCAGAATGATGGCTCAGGATTCACGTTTAGTAATCTAATGTTTGGTCGCAAGAGAATACGATCAGAAGACTGTTTTCACACAACTAATGAACATCTCTGTGTGGTTTATCAATGTGTCAATCAAGAACAGACATTACATTACATTAGTTACTTACGACTGTTGCTCCCAAAGGAGCATAGGTCACCGACCAGCATTCTCCAACCCACTCTGTCCTATTACTTACTTTCTGGTTCTAGACAGTTATTGTTCACTTCTCATTCGGCCTTGAGGATTGCATGTAAGAACTTGCCTTGTGACGCAGTTTGGTTCTTTGCTCAATGTGTGTCCTATCCACCTCCGGCTCCTCTTCCTGATTTCTTCCTCCTTCCTTCCTGGAATCTGGTTTGTTCTCTCCTGAAGTAGGTTGTTGCCGATAGTGTCTCGCTAGTGGATCCGAAGTATTTTACGTAGACAACTGTTAATAAACATTTATATCTTCCTGATGATGACATTCGTAGCTCTCCAGGTTTCCGTCTCATACAGTAGAACTGTCTTGACCTTCGTATTAAACTTCCTGCCCTCGGTGTCTGGTGACAGAAAGTTGTTTTGAGGTCCTGATGTTCTTTAGTCGTAAATGTGCTGCTCCTGTTATGCCGATTTGCGACTTCACATGTGCATCAGATCCGTCATGTTCATCAATAATGCTGCACAGATATGTGAAGGTTTTTACACCTTCCAAAATCTCTCCGTCAAGTGTGGTTCGATTGGTGTATGCTTTGTTGTGTCGTGGAATCTCGCTTTTCCCTTTGTGTATATCGAAACATACTGCTGCTGAGGCTGCTGCTACACTGGTCTTTTTCTCGTGCATTTGTTGTTGAGTTTCCGATAGAAAAGCCAGATCATCTGTGGAGTTGAGATCTTCCAACTCCATCCTAAATGTCCACTGTGTCCCGTGCTTCCCCTCAGATGTTGACGTAGTCAAAGAAGTTGATGTAGTGCTATCAATTCCATTCAACTGATTATTCCACAATGATCCATGGTGTTTCAACTTGGTCTGTACACGATCTATCCTCACGGAATCCTGCCTATTATTCTCTATTTCACGTGTCTATTGAGTCCCTCATTCTCTCTAGCAACACCCTGTTGAAGACTTCTCCTAATATTGATAGTAGAGTGATGCCTCTGGATTTCTCAAACACTTACTGAGATCTTTTTTTTGTGGTATCTTGATCATGTGACCTTCTTTTCAGTCTGTTGGCACTTGTTCTTCATCCCAAATCTTACTGGAGAGAATGTGAAGTATCCTTGCAGTTACTGTCACATCTTATTTCAGTGCCTCTGCTAGAATGTTGTCTAGTCCTTCTGCTTTGCCGCTCCTGATTCGTCTGATTGTCGTGATGATCCCTTCAATTGTTGGTGGATCAACATCAATTGGGAGGTCCATGGTTGCTTCTTTGATTGTGGGTATGTTTAGTGGGACTGGTCAATTCAAGAGTTCCTTGAAGTGCTCTACCCACCTGTTAAGTTGTTCTTCGACGTTGATGATTATCTTGCCCTCCTTGCGTTTCACTGGTCGTTCTGGTTGACGAAAATTCTCAGCGAGTTTTTTTGTTGTATCATGCAATTTTCTCATGTTTCCTTCTCTTGCAGCCTTTTCCGCTAACATTAAAGCATCGGTTTTGATGCTCTTTTTCACTTGCTTGTTCATTTCTGTGGAAAAAACACCTGAGTGTATTTTGCTCCAAGGCACATGACTAAAAAATATGGTGTTTAGAACTTCTGAAGATTATATCTAGCTTGGAGAAAAATAATATATTTCATATGAAAAGCAACAGGTAAAATAAACTGACCACACGTGGATGGTCGAGTCATGTGTAGTGTAAGTTGATACGTTAAGCCCATAAACCTTATCTTGGCTACTGGATAAGACGACTTATCCGTTCTAATTGAATCACATTTTGACCTTGTTAATTATTCACTTGCCAACTTTGACTGCTGATATATGAGCGTATGTGCGTGTACACTTCCTACCTTATTCACCACATGTCTGTAGCTTAATTTTGTGTGACAATAAATATTGATTGACGCTTGGTGAAAAGGAGTTGGCTCACATGCCTTCTCCACTGCGCGTTAATTCGCTTTGCTCTCTTCCCTTCTCCGATATTTTGTCTGGATCAAAGATTGTATGGAATATACGTATTCGAAATTCATTCTCGTATTTGATTTGTTTAATTCCGTTATTGACCATTGCGATTTAAGTCGATGATTATATACGAGGATTTACGGTATATATATCTCAATAGCAGTCAGAAGCATTCCCATGATCACAATTTCTGTTCACAAATTGTTAAACTTTAAAAGTAAATCTCATTTGTCTGTGTTCGACTTGAAGGATAGCGTGTATGAGAACCATTAACGGTACAAAGTCACAATATAGTCTTATAAGTTGTTTCATAATAATAATAATAATAATAATAATAATAATTTATTCTCAAACAATAATTTGTCATATGAGGCATGCCAGTTTACAGGCAAGATCAAATTGTTACGAATGATACAATTTCTAACTGTAGTAAATTACTCAGCTGGGTCGATAATTTATAAGATATGAATGTAGAATGGTTCTGGTCAATATCACAGTTAGCGCGCTCCATGAAAGTTGCGTTGCGACGTGCAACTGAGAGTCGATAACAGATTCATGTGCAGTTGAGGGCTTCTAGAAATCACAATATTATATCCCTTTGGAATATTTGAGGCTTTAAGGATGGTGTAGGACAAGGTCACCCGTTCCGTATCTCAAGGCGACTGAAAAATGGTGCAAGAAAAAAAAAGAAAACAAAAAAGGACGAGAAGCAGAGCAGACAATGTTCATGAAGAAATAGCTAAGGTATGACTACTCAGTCTGATTATCTTTTAATTAAAGTATTTAGTAAGCAGGAGCATCCTAATAAGTTAAAGAAAATATGTGTTGACAAGGTATGAGTGGATAATCAACTGACAAATGAAGGTGGTTCAGAAAGAAGCTGAGAGTATGAGAATATGTCGTTATAAAATATAGTGCTAAAAACAGTGTTATGATACACAAATGGCTGTCTCGCTTTTTTGTCGACTCTATTGGAGCATTTTTTAGATTTTATATGGTCTTCAGTAGGCTTCGTTTTTTTTATCGAATTGTCTAGTTTGCTCGTAATAGGATTACTGGGTAGGAAGTGAAACCGATTCAACTTTCTAAACACGATTTAATGAGGTATTTTGCATGATAAATCAGCATCAATACCATTAGTTCGTGACATTCCACCAGACCATAAGGAGCCGTAATTTAACAAAATGTTCTGCCCTACAGACATGTGTGGATTGAAGTTGTCTCCCCGCCATCATGTTTGCTGGTTAGTAAGCAAGCGGTCTTCCTGGCCTGTCGTCATTACTAATTTTGTTATGGGCCATAATTATTATAACATTGAGGTGATAGTGTAATGCCTCGGAAAAGTCAGGATGGTTTAGCTGCTCCTGGCTACACTGGCTTCGAACACATTTTGATGGACATGAAGATGCCACAGATATTCAGAGTTTGATAACGCTTTAACCAGTAACACCTTCTAATATGAATCGTACCCACCAAGTGAAATCAAACGATAGAAATGAAGAGGTTCGAAGATATATTTTGTAGGCTATCAATATATCGAGGATCGTCTGAAGTAATCTGGCTAGCTATTGCAGTAGATGTTGAGCACGGTGTTCTCACTCGTGATCTGATGCGGATGCAGGACCGAGCGCCTTCAGCTAGGTGAGTCCATTAAAACTAATGTGGTCAGCATCCAATGTCGAAAACTTACAGAGCTATTTATTCTGGGGATTTATCTACCGCTAAAAACACTTGGCATGAAGATGTGGCTAAATTCGCTGTGAATAACATTTATTCGTGCGTTGTCCAACGTCATATAATGTGTGCTATATGATTCACAACCATTTTGCACACACCCCGAGCTATCTACTTATACGATTGTGAATTCTACAATTCCAGACATGATAGTTCTTGGTCGTGATTCTTGTGTGTGTGCACAGCAAAGTAGTCGTTATTTACAGATCTTGAGCTGTAAAAAATTTACGGATGTCACATATAAATAGATAGAGGTTCGACGATATATTTGATGTAATATCGATTCATCAATGATGATGATGCGAAGTACGGCGTACCCACTCATGATCTGACGCGTATATATGTCCGGGAGCCTTCAGCTAGGTGGACTCAGTAAAACGAATGCAGTCAACATCAAGCGTCGAAGACTCACAGAGTTACTAATTTCGAGGAATTATTTACCACCAGACGACAAAAGATCTCAAATAAACTGGGTCAGAATTGTAATGTTATGTGAAAAGTGACTACATAATCTGAGTCCATTCTACTTATGTATAAAAGAACTAGTCTTCCAACCGAACAACAGAAACCGCTAAGCCTTGATTTTCCTGTTTTTTCAACAAATTGTCAGCTGATAAGCAACTTTCCTATCAGACTATTGGCAAGCATATAACAATGTTTGTTTCATTACTGGGGCTTGCAGATTAGTATTTTCTGAACTAACAATATTTTACAATGGGTTATTTTCTGTAGAATAACTCAAGATAAGATGAGGTCAGCTACCAACTTATCAAATATGTGAAAGAAAACACATGTTCATGCTTTAAACTGATATTGATAGTAAAAGTTGCTTTGTTTATATTGCTCAATAAACATTAATATATTTAAGTCTATCTTTCAAAAGTGTAACGTGTTCTTGTAGTAATGAAGAAATTTTTGGATACTACCAATACAAAGCTTAATCGGGCTTTGCAGGTTTGCTTTCAAATTCGAAAATTAGTTACTTCTTATCAAGAAAACAAATGAAGTCATAGGGAGGGCTGAAAAGACAGAATTCGATGAGGAATTTGTCTCACTATTAAAACAAGCAGAATCTACGCACGAAGCATCTAAGCACATTATGGAGGCTATTGAGCAGTGGATCAACCCATGTGTCTGTAAATTGCATTTTGTCGATGACCCAATAATTCTTTTTCATAGTAAAAAAGTTCGATGATGTCGGTCAGTTCACTTTAAAAAATCATTTTATCCTTATGAAGTGACTTTTCAGTTAACTTGAGATAAGTGCATGCTGTGTGTCATTTTTTTGTGGTGTTTTGTTTCATATTCTACTTACATGTTTGCCGTCTGCCGTGATCTCTGAGAGCTCAACATGTCACTTATTATGTGAAAAAGTGGTTTCAGTATACACATATTTCAGGATAATTTGACTTCACTAGAACATTAGTATTTTGACTCCTTGATGAATTGTATGCATATGGACCTCATTTATTTGCTGGGTATTAGATTTCAAGTTATAAATCTGGTGTTATATTATTTATTTCTTTGGTTATCGATCTGACTTCAAGTGCCATTTTCCAAAGTTATGTTGTAATACATAACTCCCCCAGCACGACTCATCTGTCATCTTTAGAACAGACTTCGTGTGATATCATTGGAACCTCTTAGTATCGGTTTATTCACTACTGAAAAAGCTGTTACCACCGCAACCGATTACTGACTGCCATGTTTTGATGTGTTTACAGAGATAATTGTGTAGCAAAATGATATTCACTTTAGTATGTGGCTTAAAATCAACATAAATTGTTGAATCTGTGAAATACTTACTAAAGATCATACAGAAAGTTAAATCCGGGAGTGAAATTTTTCTGTCGCTTTCATTTCATAAAAATAACATTGGATGATGCTATTTTGAGTTTCCCAAGGTTCGTGTGATCCAGTCTATCTCGAAATCTCCTCGACAGTCTTCAAAAAATATACATATCTTCCTTACTTTGTATTTTGTTGAAATTGTTGGAAAATACACATATCTAAACAGTGTGTTAAAATGAAATTCATGAGTACAAACATGGTTTGTGGTAGTTCATCGTTTGGCATCAAGATGCACGAAGAACATCTTAACAAATATGAGCTTGTTGGCTGAGTTGATATTTTCTCTCTGATAGAAGATGCACGATTAAATTAAGACATCCATAATTTGACCTCATTTTATAATCCTGACCTACAGAGATCTAACCTTTGAAGTTAGATAAAGTTACGGCCTTCAAGAAACTGACTACAACATCTATCTATCATATTACAGTTTTCCCTGAAAATGCTCAACAGTGAAAGTTTTGGTGTTCCACTACTGACAAGTAATAAAGCACTATGTTAGCTGATAGCATATGTACTAATATTCGATTTCTGCTCCGGAGTTCGAAGGTTAATGCCTCTAATTAGTGGTATTAGTGATTTTTATACGACTAATGTAGAATTTGTCTAGTACGTAAATCCACATGCCTGAACACTGCAATGTTTATCATATTTTGCCAAGACTTAAATGAAATCGTTGATTCTATACTTCGTTATTTCATTTAGCTTGTAAAGTAGAAAGTATGGTCACAGATAATAAAAGTTATTGGTTAAAGGTTCCTGCAAAGTTACCTGCCGAACATCTTGGAGATGAACTACTCAACGCAGCTGTTGGTGTCGGAGCTGGTACTGCATATGGTAAGTCCGAAAAACATAGCCATGAAACAAACTCCCCAAGTTACTTACAACGTTTAATTAAACACAAATTCTGTGCAATAACAGCCACAATATCTTTCTTCTTTCTTGAACCGAATAAAAAATGGGCTTCTTAAAAATGCACACACATTTCAAATTTATGGTGGCGAAAGTATCGTCTACTCCTTTCCGGCCCACCAATTCACCAAAAAGGGGGTTCAATAAATGAATAAAAAGTAAATATAACCCACTGAAATGTATCCAATGTCTTGTATCGTGACGGCCAAATATATATCATTATATTATTAGTACTGACAGGATCTCATGTAAAATAGGTACTGCTGATTTAGACCCTTGTCATGGTTCACGCGATGCATATGTGTGTAATATTTAGTCGTTACCACAGTTCAAAAAAGTTTATCACTTTCTGCTTTATAAGTCTGCCTCACGTTTTTCTATGTATCTAGAAAAACACTTTTCATTTACGGTAGAATCACTTTCTCGTGGAACTGAAAGTATCTCTTACTCTTCACCAATAAAAGATAGAGGACATTGGAAGTAGTTAAATCCATATAACCTTTGGAAAAACTTGTTATTAAATATTTCACAAAAGGTAAGTGATAATAAGTCTTGCCATTTTATAACCATGTTAACTAGCGTGAAAGATAAGTAATTTGCTGATGACTTTTATCACAGACTGAAATTTTCGGACACTGTATTTAGGTAGAGTTGACATGGTAGTAACGTTTTGTTCTACGTTAAGATATGCTCTAAGGTGTGTTCGTTGATTGTACTTGATGACTTAGTTAAAATTTTCAGAATGTATCTGGTTTTTCAAATGAAGATAAAAGATTATATAGCTTAATAAGTATTGCAGAACTGGCCATGTATTAATTAAACTTTCCAATCAAAAATACATAATAATTTTTGTAAAATCAGTTGAGAATCGGTATGAATGGGCTCACCTTACTTTATTTGTCAAATTAAAGTCACCATGTCATTTTAATGAGGCTTTTTAATACAAAACTTAATACTGGTTCAACACTGAGAAGCAAATTATGCAAGTATTTCAATCGAAAACAAACACTTGAACTAATATGAGTTAACCGATAGATTAATATCAAGGATTATTAGTTGCAAATTTCCAATATTCTGAGCGAACAAGTTTTGCTAATGTGAATGCAGTTGCATTACATATAAGTGACCATAAATTCTATTATGAACTACATTTTTGAAAACTGTAGTAGGATATAGAATCAAACAGAAATACAAGTTTAGAATTAATTAGGAGTACGGCTTTCAACTTTCGGTAAAAGTCGCTAAGATTTCACAATAAATAAATTTTTATAGAGAGCAATCCGCAAATTTTCCGGAAGTAAATTAGATTTTGGGAATCATAATAACAGTATTCATAAACAATTATACCCTCAATACATTAATAATTACTAAGCTTTTTCAATCTTTATTTCAAACACTTAATGAGCCTAATTATCTAATTCATACATATTAGGCGTTTTTTCACTAAAATAATTATTGCCGTTGTGTGATCTGCAATCTACATTGTTAATCGTTTTCAATTGGGCTGTAGTATTGATTGCTTATGACTTGATGAATCCATGCTTTGAACGGTTTGTTTTCATCCGGCATGTTGTCAGGTCAAAGTCTGCTCTTTACAGTATTTATTCCAGTAGCGTAGTGCTACTACTAAGTTTTTTCATAGTAAGTGTTGCTTAATGCGCAGTTCAATCATTGGTGATTGATTGGTAAGTTGGTAAGTGAATGATCTAAGGACGGCTCTGAATCAATAAGTTCCATCATTAGCTAATCTGAAAACTCTTGTAAAGAAAGAGTTTCGATGTTTAATTATGAGCATTAGATTCTACATTTTTTAATAATAAAAAATACTGACGGGTAGTTCACGCTTAGTTTTGTCATACAGTCGATTGATTTAAGCACTCAAATGAATTGTCATCAAAAGATATTACAATTGGCCTGTCGATAAATTACCTAGTTTGTTAACATTTTTTGAAATAAAATATTGGACACAGCTGAAACATGGTTGAGATTTATTTAAAAAAGGCAATGAGAAGATACAAATTTCAAAAAAGCACTTACTGGGCAATTTGATAATAACGTGAGTCTCAAACTTAGTTATTGCCCTTCATATCACAAAACATTATAAACTGGAAAATGTTTAACCATCACAATTCGTTTTGAAAATTAACGACGATGTACATGCTTGTTTTCTTCTGCTAGGTTGGATTTTAAAAGTTCTGGTCAGTGTACCAACTTTTACAAAGTAGGATACTAAATGATTAAAAAAAATATGTTTCAATAAATGCTAATATCCGTATTATTCTCAATTTATTCCCTTTATTGTGATTAGTACTGAGAACTAATTCCATATACACAAAATTTATTACACCTGATAGATGTTCTCCTTTCATACGAGCACCTAAACTAATAGGTACACTATGAACCGTAATGAATTGTTTTGTGCTTTATGTACAGCTGAACCATTTAAATAATATGAGGTTTTTTTATAGCATTATTTTACATTTATTCTAGATTTGAGTTGTTCATTTTCACTACAATCTCCGAAAAATGTTAAAGTACTTTGTGTAAAATTAGAGTTGATTAGTCATTGAAAAAGCCAGTTTTCAACAGAAATCATTAAGTTCATTTGGTATTATTTACCTGAATCTTCCCATTGATATTCAGGATTGCAATTGATCAGTCTCTTATTGACATATGTACATACTGTGTATATTGCCTCGATATTGCTTTAGTTCACAAGCGTTCTAAGCAAAGATGGATAGTAATTATTTACAGTATTTATATTATCATAGTAATACATTCCACTGCTAGCCAGTATCCATCTTTGCTTAGAAATCATTAAGTATTTAGCAACAATGTTCACTTGTTCTCAGGTTATTTTTTTTAAACTTTATTCACAATATATTTATATAAAATTAGGAGTTAAGAATGAAGCTCTGTTTATTGTTTAAATTATTGACATAATAACTATTCATACATTTGAATAGGAATGGAATAACATTGAAATGTAAACAAATTATGTTAGTTGAAACTGATTAACAGTCTCCATGATATATGAATAAGTTCTATGCTTAGTTACTGAAATCCATGCTTCGTTCAGCACATTTTATAATTTGATAAGTTACAAATCAAGTATTTCTTGTATCACACCATAAAAGTTAAAATCAAAGCGTTAAACAATAAATAACCTGAACAAAGTATACTTTGAATAAATTCATTTTATATTCTATATTAAACACTAACCCTTTCAAAATCATTAATTTTAATTTTATTTTTATACATTTATACATTGTAGTACTTAAAAAATTCATCCACTCTTGAACTTGTCCATCTGATTGAAGTATTCATTTGGATTTATAACAGTAGAAACTAATAAGCATTAATTGAAAAATTATTTTTCTTTCATTTCATCATTATTTTTGTCAGAATGGGTTTTGTGGAGATTTTAGTGATTTCAACAGTTGAGATCATTACAGTCTCCACAAACCCATTCTGATAATAATCATCTGCTCCCAAGTGACTGAATTCAAGCGACACTCCTGGAGTTCTAGTGAGAAACAATGACCAGTAGAGTTCAACTGGATCTGTTGTGAGATATCAGGTCACTGAAGACAATGGTGGATGTGTCGCTCAATTTCGTGGATTGGTTGAAGTAAGACATTAACACCGTTGAATGCCCGCTCAGTGGTCTAATGGTTAAGCGCTCGCGCGCGAGACAGATTGGTCCTGGGTTCGGATGTCGCGGGGGGCGGGGATCGTGAATGCGCACTGCTGAGGAGTCCCGCAACAGGACGAAACGACCGTCTAGTGCTTCCAGGTTTCCCATGGTGGTCTAGCTTCAATCAACTCATGATCTCAACTGTTGTAATATTTTTGTGTTAATAATGTGAGAATTCCTCAAGTTAAATGAATAATTTTTTTTAAAAAAAACATATAAATCGATTCTTTGACCTGAAATTTATCATCTTGTTTTTTTCTTACCTCTGCCTATTTCTTGGTATATTGTAATGTTGTTGCTCACCTCTTTCGTTATCTACCATCTGGTTTTACTCATTTTTATAATGTTTATAACTGGTTGTATATTTTATTCATTTCTATTTTTCAAATTTAATCTATTCAATATTAAATATGTTAACCACCTTTTTTATGAAGTAATATATGGCATAGATCAAATAAGAAACCATTAGAAAAAACGTGAAGTAAGTGTTAATATAGTCCACCTTTTTTCAAATCATTTTTGTTCTTCTGTTAGATGCCCATAATCAATTAGTCTTGAATTAGTTGTCTATCATTTGGTTGAAGTTTTGAACCTTACTCTTTCTGGTTAAGTTTTGCAAAGTATGTAGTTTTCCCAGAGCTCATACAAAAATGTGTGACTTAAAGTGAAGTATATGAAACTAGTTAGTGAGTTACATTAAATCAAATTAAAATATACCTTGTAGCCTATTTACTAGTAATAGTTTCGTTTTGTTTATTGACCTTTACTTCATAGATTAGTCTAAGTGAATCGATATTGAGATACAATATGCATTTTAAAATTTGATGCGGTTCTTTTGTCATTGCTTATGTGCAATCTAAAATAGGTTTTAATTTCTTCTGAATGTAGTTAATGTTGTAGACTACTGGTCATGCTTACAAACTTAGAACTCGAGGCTTGAAAATGTGACGTGATTTTGAAAATTTAACATAAATCTCTCTGTAAACTTGTTTTTCTGAAAGATAGCAGTCATTACAGGAATATGTAAGTGGGGAGGGCATAAACTGCACTCTCGTTTGCAATTTTGACCTTGCACCTGGAGATCAACCAAAATGAAGCGATAATTATTATTTACACTATTGTTACCCATGACAGAGTGCGTGTTTCGTTCTCTGTCGTTTTTGCTGGCTTAAATAAAAAGTATAAAGTTTTCTATGATAAAAATATCACTCCATTATGCTACGGTGGTGTCAAGTGTATCGCAGTCAGCCATGAATGAAAAAAAATTGCAACGTAGCGGCATTCATACTTCTAATCAATTTGATAATAGGAACTACTCCAAATCATCGCTTCAATAATTCTCATCCTGTGTATGTTCACTGAGTTGATTTAAATAGTGATAAAAAAAAACAGAAACGTTTCATGTATTATAATTTAAAATAAATAACTATATGAACCAAACAATTTGCAAAAATTTAAAAAGCTAAACAAAAACGTCTAGATTTAGACAAAATGCAAGTTGATTTTATTGTAAATAAGTATAAATAGTCAAATAAAGGTTATTTACAAACCTATCTATCACATGATCATCAGACGACATGCTTGTTCTTCCAGAAATTCCTAGTTATTTGAAAAATGGACCAATTCATTCAATTTTATAATAATGATCAAATAAGGTTAACATAATTTAAGAGGATCAGTGGGCGGAAATGTGTGAATGAAAAGTTGGTTTAAGAATTCGGAAACCTCGAAATATTATGAATTCATACTGTTTTCCATCAATATTTGTTCTTGCTTTACTTAAATTCATAAAGGGAACTAATTGCATGAAAGTATTGTTCTTTTTGTTCATTCATTAAAAACTTTGAAACTGCGCTAATTTTTCGAAAAAATATATTTATATTCAGAATTTCTATAGTACACATGCTTAACTGTTTCTAATTGTGACTCCTCAGTACTGTTAATTTGATTCCTAACCCATTATTTTTCAGTCTTCATTCTTTTCTGTGTCCTGAGCTTTTCACGTTTAAATTTCCACCACAATTGAAATCAACCCCTCCCTCATTTTGTGAACTTGAACTGTGTACGCAGTTACCTTGAGTTCCACTTTGACGATTGCACTTCATACAATTTGATTGTAAATGTTCAGATATAATCGATTAAATTCTATTAAAACTTAGAATGATCTATACTATTTAATAAATAGATTTTTTTACATCCTCGATGTAAATATAAATTATAATACAAAATGATTAGGATGAATCAAATTTCCACCGTATATTATGGTTTCTAACGTAATCAATATCACGTTCTGTTACACAGTTTTTAGGTAGTTTCGTTATTCTTGTCTTAAACCTTAGATCATTATAATGTAATGAAACCTTGTAGTGATTATTGCTAATTTCAGAAACATATTCCTCTATATGGGGATTATTAACTTAAGCTACATACAGATTAGTGAGCATCCAAACAGTTATACAGGATTATGTATTTCCGTGTCTATATTATGATTCTGCATCTTTTGCTTGCTCGACTTGTCTCATTCGAATTTTTTTGTTATTTTTTCCTATTTCGAAATTTTCTCATATTAACTGTACTAATATAAAGTGTAACAGCATGAAATGGTAAACTATTCTGTTCGAGGTTATACATCTTTTCAGTCCAGCTATTAGTCAGCTTATTACTTGTAAACAAAAACGAGCGAGTGTATATCTCTGTGTGCATCCAAAGTTTAATCCTAATATTAATGCAAATAACCATCTACCATTCTTAGTCAATTCACTTTTGGAACAAGTAACCTTAAAGATGTAATGATACAGCTCATACGTGAATTACAAGTTTCTGTAATGTTTATATGAGTACTGGTGTTAGTGTTCATCTGTCCAAACCGAAGTAGATAAAAGAGGTTAAAACTTCGGCATTAAAAGTTGATTGATTTAATAATTAGACCACAGCTCGGTGAAAATAAATATTTATTATACTATACGTATCTCATAAAATAAATATTTTGCTCATAATTTACAATTTCTATTTAATGAATGTATTCAACTACCTGATCATCGAATTATACCATTGACTCAATAATACAGAGAATCCCACCTCAATAAATTTGAATGATTTCTAATATAAAACAATAGCTACTAAGTAATTAACCTATTCAGTAGGTTTTAACTTGTTCTTTATTTTCATTTTAGGTGCGGCATTGTCACAATGCGGTGAGTACAGTCGTCAGATAGCTGCAGCTGAAAGTCAAAGGAATGCGATACTAGAAAAGAAAACATTATGTGTACTACATCATTTTTTGGCACTTGAATGGCCTGAAATACAAGTAAGTTATTGTTCAATTTACTTTGTTGATTTATTTGTTTTTTATGGAATACAAAGTTTTAAATAGAATTCACTAGTGAACTCATGTACATGTATACTTACCTAATATATGTTCTGAGAAACATTTACAATTAATCCTCTATTGTTAAGTTCCTTTTTTGAGTTGCTATATCCAATAAATACGCATATGTTCATGTTTATTTTCTCTCAATTATTGATAGAAAATAAAATATTTATAATGTTTAACAATGAAATATACTTCGTTCACTGATTTTCAATTAATCGATTTCCTAGCTTGTCAATAATTGGATTTCATGTAATTAAGAAATGATTGTGATTAGATTTTTTCTGATTGTATACAATGGTTATCATTATTGGTTGACCTTAGACAATGAATTACGTCTTAAGCCTACTGAAGCATATGATTTATTGATTAGAGTGTGTTCTGTATGTTTTTCTAAACACGTTCTGTTTTGTAACTTATTAATTAGTTTTTTTTTAAAAAACTAACCAACTTAAATGAAGTCAAAATTTCTTAGTTTATTCAGTCTAATGTACAAGTCACTTTTGTTACCTAAATGAGACTAAGTAAACTATACTAAATTATCATTGTTTTGACGAAGATTACATTGTTCAACATAGTCAAAATTAACAAATATTTAACATTTGACTTTCATCAGTCAAAGCAAGTTTCGGTCACAACAACACATGATTTTAGACTAAAACTGTTGAGGAGAGATTGGCCCTATCCTTTTTCATGTGTTTTACCTTAAATCGCACTTTTTGTGTTAGCATTAGTGATTCATCTGTGCTATCCGAACTTAGCTGCGAGCCTCCTTCTTGTACTTGAAAGTTAAGTACATCAATTGCTGTCCAACCAATAGCTATGTATTTTAGAGTTGGTTCTATTTATCAACTAGTTTCAATCCCTATTAAAAAGTATCTGCATCACTAACTCATCTTAAATCATCTTCAATTTATTCGATTTTATTATCAGTTGTTATCGTCACACAAATGTGGAAATTAACTGAAAAGAGTTTTTCACTAATTTAATGATTCTGTACTCATCCAAGATTTCGATAAGTCACTGGACTTAATTCTAAGTTGGGTGAATTTACGAAAAAACCAAACTTACTACTGGGACATTAGGGAACTCATCTTGATGCTGAACAACTACTTAGTATCAACTAAATTGATCTTTTGGAGATGCTACAAAAATCGAAAGTAATTTCGATATCGAACTCATGAAAGGATTTAGTTTAATATACGCTACGATAAAATTAAATCGCAATAATTTCTAATGATATTTCTATGAGAAGCTGCTCTCTATGTAACGTTTGGTTTTAAAAGTAGAATATTGAGCCTTAGGCTATCTGGCTGTGCAATGCCATATTATCTAAGCTAATCAAATTATCATTTATAAGGTTATTTATTGTATACTATACTTTACTTAACTGATGTTATACTTTCGTTTGAGTAGATTTTTAACATTTTTTTGGCCATTTGATTTATATTCTTGTATACTACATGTATCACATTATATTAATGAATGATCTTTAGTACTGTAAAATATTTGTATAAGTCTAATATTTATTTGTACAATTCAGTAAAATTAAAGTGTTGTATCCTTCATATTAAATCCAGTATAAAACTTATCCAAAAATGTTTACCCTTATGACTCTTCAGTTAAATGGTTTTCAATGGAAAATTATTGTGTACGTGAACTTGTAATCAATTATCCATATTGATTGAATATGTGGTCAAGTAATCATGATTAATCACTAATGTGAAAGATATTGATGTAAGCTCTTAAATAAACAAATGTTGTTTGATTGAACAACTCTTCATTAAAATCTTCTTTCTCCCCTGTAAAATGTCACTGTTGTCTACAAAACATTAAACTGTATAGTGATGATTTTATAGGTCACTTACTAAAAAAACAGATTTCTTTCCCTGAATATATGCCAAGTATGGATTCATGTAATCAACTTTGAGCTAAACTTTTGTAGTGTTTGTGCTACTACTATCCGGTTACTCAAATTGAAGTAGGTGAGTTGGGGTTCGATCATGTAGTCCACTGATTAAAAGTTGAGTACTTTAATCATTAAGCCATTCTTTCATAGAAGTAACATAGTATTGATTACAAGTAACTAAATCCATAACAATAATAATATTTAAATTATATTCGTTGAACAAGCTAATGGCTATCTGGACTCAGTAGGTCAGTGGATAACGGATTGGTAGTTGAAGAAGTTTCATGGGTTTGAGCTTTAGTGTGAACATCAATACTGAGATACAAATACATCAGTATAAATAGATCGAACACAAATCGTGGATTCCACTCCTAAACATAATCCAAACATTCTATAAAACTTGCGACAGTATAGCTACATCGAGGCAACCGGACAAGATATACATATGCTAACAAAGACTGATTAAAATTTAATCCTCTTTATCAACAATGGGACAATTCAAACTTTACTAACAATGAAATTAAGATCATGCTTGCTAACTAGTTTTATCAGAATTTCATTCTTCTTAATCTTGTAGTTATGACTGTTACTTAGTTTAAATTGGTGTAATAGGATTTATGAATAGATCTGTCGTTTCATTAATTGATGTATATTTTACATATATCTAATTTAGTCAGAATGACAATAAATCTCAACTTCTCAATAGCCTGTGCAACAAGATGAATCAAACACTAAAACATTTTTGAGTTTAAAACTTTGGAAAAAAATTGAATCACACTACGAATACTGGGTGTAAAAATGTTAAGGAAGGAAAGTACAGGAAGAAAGAATTAGTACATAGATATGAAGCGATTTTAACAATATATATATATATATATATATATATATATATATATATATATATATATATATATATATATATATATATATATATATATATATCTGCACTCGCCTCAGACTCCTTTAATCTGCATTTTTAACAATATCATTTTTAATTAACCTTATGAAAGACGGTAATATTCGAGTTCTCATAAAATATGTGTTTGTAGATAGTTACAGAGATGTTCAAATTAATTTCAGTTATCTGGTTATATAATTTGTGTGAGTAATAGCTATCTTGTTGATGATTTGTATCATAGACTATTATACACTGAATAATGTACACTTTTGGTTTTGAGTTTTACTCTAAAATACGTTTATCTATAATAATTGTGTTAAAATAACCCCTTTATATGTTTATTTTTTTATAGAAAGAACTTAGTCATTTGGAGTCGTATCGTTTGGATTATGATAAATTAAGAAGTAAAGTGAAGCATAATGAACATCCAGATCCTGAAGTAAACCTTATTCTAGACTTTTTTTCTAAAATAGGCAGTCATGGATTTATAATGACAGACTGAGTTATATTACTATAAGTAATTTATAAAAGATATTTAATTACATTTGTAATTCCATATGAAAACATAGTTTTGTTTGATTGTTATGGTTTGTTAATTGAAACATTAGTTGAGGATATGTTAACACCTTTTATAACTGATCTATCATCTACATACCAATTAATTTACTAATCACATGCTAAAATATGCATAGCTCATATATACATGGTTTTAAGACACTTGTTTAATATATTGTATGGATTTCATGAGTCATATGATTAACAATAACCTGGTGTTCTTTTATAATTTGTTATATGGATAAAATGAATTAGTCGGTCAGTTGTTTTATTTTACAAAAAAAATACAAATATTCCAGTAACATAAAACATTACTAAATATATCAATGAGCACTCGGTAATTCCTTGTTCATTTTATATAATATTTGGTGCACAAATAATTTTCAATGATCAGTGTGGGTATGGTTTGTCTGTGTATTTATAACAGTACTGATTAAATTGAAGATTAAATAAGCTTTTTATGCACCACATCAATGTCATGTTAAATGAAAGCGGCGACTGAAACTGGTAAATTGTAGACAGGTGAAAGAATATGTATCTAGTTTGTACTTACGTTTCTACGATTTCTGGCAAGTCATTTTCAAAATCTACCAATTTTTATTTTAATTACTATCACTTTACTTCAGAATGTATAGAAATACCGTCGGTGGTATTTCTTTCGTTCGATTTAAGTGGCACAACAGTATTTACTAATGTAACTAATTTATTAACTACGCATCTGTGTATTGTGATCCACACCTTGGGAATTAGAGCTAGAGATACTACGCTGCTTCCCGAACTAAAGATATTTGTGATCAGGTTCGAACTGTGTACTTAATATTTGGAATTGATAGCCCTTAACGAATAAACCATAGTTCCACAGTCGTAGTATTACTAGCTCTCATATAAACAATGTGGTTCAAACTAAAGTACATAGATTTGTACGTGATAAATTCTAACAATTAGTATTATAACAGCTCTATCTACGTGGTCTAAGTAACTCATTTATCAAGAGATTTGGTTAAATTTTATATGGTCGATGTTCTAAAAGAAATTTAAAATGTATTTAAACGTTTATATCTATTTGACAAAAAATCATCCACCAGGAGATAGATTTTACATGATTCCAATTTCGTGATTTTATATAAATCACTAACTTCTGTTTGTTCAAACAGTAAAATTAACCAATTATGTTAAATATCACATATAATCGCTCTTTTTAAGAATTAATCAATACATAGGTATGATTTTTCATGTCATGAAGTATAAATTTGATTTCCCTATCTGGTAACAAGTCTATGTATGTTCACATGCGACTTTCATTATCTGGACAAAAATGTGTGAAGATTCATAAAAGAAGAAAAATGAATAATAACTTCTGTTATACTTTGTAGAGTTGCCGTTGTCTATTGTTTTTTTAAAATCTGTATGAAGATTTGTGTTGGCTACCAATATTATAAATGGTCTAGATGGTATTTTCCATTGTTTGTTTGAACTTAGACTTTGTGTATATCTGAGGCTATCAATTCAGATTTTAGTGATAGCTGGAAATTTTTTGATGGATTTGACTTACTTTTACTGTCTTGGTGATGGATACTGAGACACGATACTTACACTACTTATTGAACATGAGTAGCACAAATTAAACATCATAATTTTTTCTTCCATATCATACTAGGCTGATTTGATATTTGCACAAAGTCGATCGCATTTGTCTCTCAAACCAAGATATAGTATTCTAGTTCCAAAGTTTTTTCAGATGAGAATACCTTATCCGTTATGGTTAAATCACTTACATATGAATGATATTTTCAGTGAACTTGATGTTTATATCTATTATTGAAGTGTTCAAGGTATACTTCTGAACTTCTGATAATCAATAACAGTGGAGTTTCTATGACTAGATATAACAAAAAACTGAACTTCACTACGTCAGAGAAATGTTAGAATACATTTCAATCCAAGGTAAACAGTGAGGAAGCTTTCTTATTTATACATAATTTCAAACACTTATAATCTACTCAACAGGTCAATTTTTTCAAAATAAAATTGTTGACAAAACATTGTTCGTCAGCATCTATGATACAGAAATCTCCTTCTGTTGTTTTAACTCTATGAATTATTGACTTAAGTAGCTTTTATCGTCCTTTTAAAAAATGAAGCGTGAATAAAGCGTCTTTACATTTGTTGTATCTTCATCCTATTTAGAAAGAATTAGATTGATCATAACCAGTAAGATTAGAATTACTGATTTCACTAATGTTTTGATCAGTAGCTCTTCCACCTTTCTTGTTCACATGAATTAGTAAAAATAACTTTCAGAGTAATAATTGGTGACCGTCAGATTTCATTTAAAAACATATACACAATATTTGAATATAATTGGAAGGACAATGAATAACTTATATTGTATTATGATCAAAACTGTCCTCCAAGCCTTCCATTACGCGCAACTTTCGTTTTTTGCCATCATAAATTTGTTCATGTACACCAATCTTTTTTCTTAAACAGACCTTGACAAAAATGGAAGATGCTAAAACCGTTCTTTATAAACAATTAGAAAAAACTAGAGCTAAACTACAACAGGTCAAGTCGGTAAATGTAAGTCAGTGAAAATACTCAATTTTTTTTATTACTATTAAACCACTTTTATGAATAATGTAAACAAAGTTGTATTTTAGCTGGCTAGTACTTTAATATGTACTTTACATTCACTTGAAGTTGTTTTACGTGTATCTTCTCATTTTTATTTTGGACTACATGTTGGCTCAGGACTCAGTAGCTAGGTGGATAACGCGCTGGCGTTTGAAGCTAACGGTACTGAGTTCGAGTCCCAGAGTGATCATCAACTCTGAGATGCAAGCATATCTAGCTGACGAGTCCCAAATAGGATAAGACGCGCGTCCTGGATTCCACTGCTAGCCAATATCCATTTGTACTTTACATGTTTGTGTATTACTAATGAACTTTAACACTTTGTACACAACATTGAATTACACTGATTACATACGTACATATTTCTCACCTTTAAATGAAATTCTAAGCAATCATTTCTGACAACATAGTTAGGTTGACCGAAAATTATTAACTTCTTGTATGTTATCATGCGTATGGCCTCCAGAAACATTTCAAATCAAACAAACTGAGAACATTTTTTTTTACCTGTAATTAACAATTTAATAAAGTTGTCTCTAGATTGTTATCAAAGAGCTGATTTGAACAAAATAAATAAGAACAGTACATTTATCTTTCAGTAACCGATAAATTCAGTATCTAACACTATGCTTTAATTTCAACTCACATTGTAATCACAAAATATATAATGTGCGAATCTTCACAAAATATATAAGTCTCATGACTTACTTCTATATGCTCTCAATAGAGTCATGACTGAATTAAAGTAAAATGAAATATCGATTAAATCTCGATTGATTGGTAACATGTAAAAAAAGTATAATGTTCTGTTGTCATGAAAAGAAATACTCAAAAGATTAAAGTTATTAACTTATTATACTTATTAATAATCTGTTAATTGTTTAATAATTCAGTAATCAAGCAGTTAAGTATTTACTTCTAATCATAACAATCAATTTTATGTTTTTGATTAAGATCATGAACTGATTGATGTTAGACCACCATTGTAAACCTAGAAGCACTGGAAGGCCGTTTCGTCCTATTTGGAGACTCCTCGGCAGTGCGCATCTACGGTCCCGCTCGCGGGACTCGAACCCAGGGCATTGCTGAGGAGTCCCACAATAAGACGAGTTGGCTGTTCAATGCTTCCAGGTTTTCCATGATGGTCTAACATCAAGAGGTTCATGATATCAACTAAAAAACTTAATAATCTCCACAACTCCTATACTCATAATTAATTTTATGTATGAATTTCAAATTGTATTTCTTGGGGCAGGGGGGTGTTATTATAAACTAGATCTCTTAATCCACTTTGAAAAATAATACTAATTTTCTTATTACAGTATGAACAAAATGACTCATATTAGGAAATGAATTATTTGTCGAAAATTCCGTCCAAATAAGTTAAAATGAATAGGGTTTTTTTCAATAGTCACCATTTTTGACTTTTTGAGATACCTCTGAATGATGGATAGTAAAACTTACGTTTAGAATTGTTAATTCCTATTAATACACTTTAAAAAATTTGTAAATTCCCTTATTTTTTCTATATATATCATGGTTGGTTGGAGCGGGGATGAAACATTGTGCTTTGTTTTGTCTTCACGTTAGTTGAGTCATGCGTGATTGTGAGCTTAATACAAGTTTGACTAAAGTATATTTGTGTTGCGTTTACAGAGTGCATTAACTCTTGTATAAACTTTTCTATTTTCGCAGCTACTATAGTTTTACTAGTAACTTCGTAATTGGAATCAGTGTTAAAATTGTTAGCATAATCTAATCAATAATAAATCATTAAAAACCAAAGAAAACCAAAACCAAAAACGGGTTTATCAATTTCATTTAATGTCCCCGTGTATTCATATTCATAGTTCTACTTGTTAAAAGATATAAAGAATGTTAAGCTGATGACCAAAATCTGACATATTGTACATTTTACTAGTATTTTGCTTAAGATTTTATGGTTGCCGTCTGAAACCACCAAAGATTTTAGCGTCTTAACTATCTGGTGTGATTGACGTAACACTAGCCTATATCCTAAGAATACTAACAACCTGTTGAGATATGAATGTTACTCAGATCTATGATTCATTGCCTTTCAAGTGAATATCCGGATTACAAATAATTTCATTCCATACCCATTGTCAGTAAATTCAATGATGTCAATTTATCGGATTGATATATTTTTGTTTTCACAGGACTCTAACATGATTGCACTAAAAGAATTAGTAGCTGCTCAACGAACTTATTTCAGTGAATGCAGACAGAGGACTGAAGAATTGTCTGCTCAAATGGAACGATTAAAATAAAGATGTGTTTTTCGGGAAGAAAATAGATCAAAACAAAATAAAAACAAAACGCCAATCTTGTGTCTTCCCCATATTAACTAATATATACAATTATGAAACTTCATTTTGTGCAACAGTCACGCTACACAAATACTCTATTGAAGCTCTAATAATAAAAATGATATTTCAGGCTTTTTGGTCACAAAATCTTCGTGTTTCTTATCGATTTAAACTGCTCGTTTTCTTTTGTGATCTTAACATACTTTTGCCGTTCAGTGTATATTTATATTAATGTCTATATTATTTGCCTTATAGATTTCAATAATATCAATAATTACATTATTGAATTAAATAAGAAATTCGCTTATTTCTTTTCAGTGCTTTCATAGTTATTCTTGAGTTTATATTTGTGTACGTGTGTTTTCTGGTTTATATGTATTTTCACACATTTATTGTTTTCTTTCGGGGGGGGGGGAAGTTGGTGTTGCTTGATTGAAAATTTATTCATTCTGTTATACGTATGACTTCTGAATTCTTTAAGTGGTATTAAAACTCATGGATTATTTTATGTTGTGTTTTTATTTTGCTGACTAAACAGTTTTCTAGTTTCACAAAGTTTATTTAGTTACCATCAGTCCGTATTGGAAATCAAGTTTGTTATTTTATACAACAGAGAAAAGCAAATCATGAATGCGAGAGTTTTATAAATAATTTTCTATTTGAGATGCTAGTTGATACAGAATCATGATAAAATATCCAGTCGGATTCATCTAATCGATTTACTTTGATTGAGATTAATCAATTTTTCTAAACATTAATTAGGTTTGTAAGCAAAGATGGATAGTGGCTAGCAGTGGATGTACCTGCATCTCAGAATTGATGTTCACACTGGAACTCGAACTCAGTTCGTTTGCTTCAAACGCCATCGAGTTGTCCATTTAGGTACTGAGTCCTGATAGCCACTTTCCTGTGCAATGGGGTGAAGTTATATTCACTTGGTGTTGCTTACTTGCATCTTCCCATTGTTATTTAAGACTGCAATTGATCAGTCTCTTGTTGGCATATGTGCATCCTATGCGGACTGCTTCGATATTGCCTGAAAACTCGGCAGCTAAGGGGATAACGTGATGGCGTTTGAGGTGAACGATACTGGAGTCAAGTCCCAGAGTGAACATCAATTCTGAGATGCAGGTACACCTAGCTGACGAGTCCATATAGGACGAAGCGCGCGTCCTGAATCCCACTGCTAGCCACTATCCTTGTTTGCTTATAAAGCTTTTGACTTCAGGCAATATTGAGGCAGTCCGCACATATGCCAACAATTAAAGTCCTAACAATCGGAAGATACAAGTAAATAACACCTAGTGAATATTAATTAGGTTTGTGTGAGGAGGATTACATAAATTGGATGGAAATAATATCAAGAGGATATATTGGTACAGCTATAGGACTTTGAAATGACTCGGTCGGTCATAAACAACACATGTACGTTACCGTAACTATTTGAAATTAACCAGTGGAATAGTGAAGGAAGCGAAATTTTAGTAATTTTCATGTTACTAAAACGGACTAAAAGTTGAACTTTATGTATGAAAGATCACTAAAACATAATATATGGAGGAAGATGATGTGTAAATATATCTCACCGACGGTTACCAACTCTAACTCATGTCACACAATATCTTCACTGATCATAATTATTTCATAAACCTCTACCAGATAGCATATATTTACCAACGTCATAGTCCGCTATTCAGTGATTTCATAGATCTGTGCATCATCTTGATTTAGATACTCCTAGATCTTTTTCAGCCTACTCATATCCCAACCAGTATCGAGATAAATAATGGTTGTGGATATGCAATAGATGTTTTAACGACCTTAGTTACTGGAAATTCAGAACCTCATCAATTGATTTTGGATATTTGTCTACTTCCGACCTGATTATTACTAATCCGTCTGTTCCACGATACATGACCAATTATTTGAAGACAGCTATGACCAAATAGTGACAGCAGACAAGCTTAAATTAAATACTGAATCGTTGCCAGTTAAGGTTTGGTTGTTTAAATAGTTCCGACCAAGTGGATTCATTACCTATTATATTGAGCTATCATTCAAAAACATTTAATCAGAAAATTCCTGTTGTATATCGAGGAAAATTTCTAACCGTGAAGTTTTGGTTTCGTCTCGATCACCTCTGTGTTAACAAAGCAGAACTGTAACAAGGTGTTTTCCTAAACGAACCACTCGAGTCATCATTTACTAGTGGAAAATTAATGACCTTCAAATGCCTTTTTCATGCTTTTCGGTATTCTTCAGTCAGCGGGGCATATCTGAAATCTTCGAAGAACTGACACTGCTCCAGTGTTTCGAGATCGCGTCACATAGTGTTGTAGTGAAGATCACTATCACTGAGTTATTTGGGTGTACAGTTTACTTTAAAGCTATAAAATTAAGTCACCTGTAAAACGCTTTCTTAGTTTCTTAGCGAATATATTTCACTTGAACTAAGACAGCGATATCATTTGGTCGAAAACAGTACATTTATTTGCTTAACCTGTGATTTTGTTCAATTGAGAAACATGTCAATACATCACTTATCATTTTTTCCATTTAACTACCTTATACAACAAATAATGTTGTATAGTGGATATCTAAGAGAAATATTAGATTTTTATTTTCATCCCTATTTGTTAATTTTCTTCATACACTCACTTATCGTCAAAATTCACGTTTAGTCAGTAAACGTGACCTGGTTGTTTGTTATTTTCCCTGTGCTAATATTCTCTAACCAACTTAAAACTACGAAAACAGTTTGTTAATGGATCATTAAACTTCTCAACTACTCACCTGAAAAAAGTCTACTACTTTTCTTTAAGTTTCGATCGGTATCACTAAATATCTATTGAATGAAATACAGTTTTAATTGAAGTTAGATATCAGCTAGAGGTGGAATCCATAAAGTGTGTTTCATCCAATACAGAAGTAATCATCTGAATGTAGTTGTATCTGGTTATGTTATCACCCAGACTCAAACCCAGTACCCTACGTTGCATAAATGAAGTTCAATTTGTGGTACTGACTGATACTAACTGGAAAGCTCTGGTTTGAGACATATTAACAATGAGCATCGACGACCCTATCAAGGATGGAAGCCAAAATTTTAAGGCTACTAATTAAAGTTACATTTAGCTTATTCAGTTTAATGTGCTAAGTACGCCTGACTGTTACTGCTATCTTGATGTGGTGGTCGTGCCTACCTATCGTACTGTCTAGAAAAATCGTTCCTCAAGGCTCCATCATGCTGTACGGGTCGGTTGAAGAGCCGTGAGACTAAAAGCAGCAAACTCAAGGTCCATAGGCGAAGTTGTACTGCTGACTGTACAGAGGTGTGACGATACTAAGGTGTTTCTCTCGGAAAACCAGCATAAAAGCGATGCTGCCTCCTCACAAGGATGGGTGGGGTTAGAAAAAGTTGACCCTAAAAGTGGACACCTAACCTTATCCCAAGATTTCCGTCTCCGTCCCAAAATGTACAAAGCTATCACAAAGATCACCCACAAAAAGGTCGTATGTGACTGGATTCAAGCAGTTGTCCCTTGGATATTGCGGTCACGCTCTCAGGTCACTAAGATCAACCCTAACCCAATTTCCTTTTCATGTACCTCTAGAAGAACCCTTCAACGATGTGGGAAGTGATAACCGCTCTTGTACCTCTAACAGCACTCAAGACCACTGCATTCATCATGTTCAGTACAGAATGAAATTGACAAAATACAATATTTTCTCGCAATATATATATATATATATATATATATATATTTCTAAGTGCATAAGTTTTTGGTTACGTCAGCGTTATAGCCTGTTTAACGTATGTTTTATATGTGTTAGGTACAGTATTATCGAGTTGTTGTACTTTCTTTGTGTCTATTTATGAATATATATCAGCATCTCTTCCCTCCTAAATGTACAAATAGTAAATTCTGAATAAAATGGATAGTCTGTCTATGATGATAAATAACACTGACTAGTTGCTTATACAATTTCAAATATCTATCTACAATCATATTTCTAATAACAACTCAAAGGTTCAGGAAAAAATAGTATGGAAAAGTACAATATACTAAACAATAAACATTGTATGCAAACAGTAATGAATAATGTCATATAACTTTCATAAATTTGTACGTATCTTTAGAGCCTTAAGAGAATGCTTTGTTTTAGTCATTAAATTACTTACTTACTTACGCCTTTTACTCCTCGTGAAAGAGCACAGGCCACTCACCAGCATTCTTCATCCAACCCTGTCCTGGGCAAATTTTTCCAACTCTTTCCAGATATTATCACCCTTTTCATATCTGCTTCTATTTCCCGACTTAATGTGTTATTTGGCCTTCCTCTTTTGCGCTTTTCTTCAGGATTCCAAGTTAGGGCTTGCATCATGATGTTATGTAATGCGTAACGTATGTCTTATCCATTTCCACTATCTGTTGCTCATCAAATTATTCCATTGTAACTATCAATGGATATTTTACGGGCGCATATCTATTTGGTGCCTCCTTGGACCAATGTTTATGTGTTTAAATAAATAAATGAATAATCTACAGCAAATTTAGTCTTGAATTTAAAAATTTTTTAAAATGATTTCAATTCAAACGTGTTTAAAATCAATGAATAATGGTATGCTTATTTTAATTGACAAAAATTATTTTTAAAAAACGTGACGTTTAAACAAATAGAAATGTATCATAGATTAAATTATAAGCTGATAGGATTAAAAAGATTTTTTTAAACTGAGATCATGAACTAATCAATGTTAGATCATCATTGAAAACCTGGATACATTGGATGGCCGTTAAAAAGGCAAAACTACATTTTGTTAAACGTTGTTGATTTTTATTTAACATTAATTCCGCTTTCTAGTTCAATATGATCATTATATAGCGCAGTATTTGTTTTGTTTCCTAGTATGACATTTTATGCCCTCAAATGCCGTGGTACGACCGAGGGTAGGGACAGTCATATCTCACTCTCGAAATGCTCTCACATGGCTTCGCGTGTCAACTAATACTAGGGAAGTCTTACTTACTGCCTTCTCATGATACTACTGTTCTTTACGAAGTTGGGAGGACGAAAATTGAATGTCCAGTGCTTTAATCGGGTTGGTGGATATGGAGGATTCACCTAGAAGAATCGGAAAACCCTGATTTCAAACCATTGGTGCACGTGGGCTCCAGGATTTTGAAGGAATAAACAGTGTATAATCCAATTATCGGTCACTGGCTGCCATGGGATTGCATCTCCTCACGTTGCTACACTGCTTGTGGATCAAACTTTTAGGTCGAAGGCTCCAGGTGTGGCTCCTTAAGAAAGTTACCTGCTTCGGTTTGAGCTCCTTGGTGATATCACAGCCCATATACAAATCAAGTGACTTGTGTGGCGCATATCTACAAATATTTATTTGTTCAAATAAATGATAATAATAAACTTATTTGAGTGCGATGCTTATTCATGATATGATATTCTTGTATTAAATTAACATGAATTAGGATTAGAATGACACA